ATGACAGAAAATCTCACTTACACCTGTCAATAGTTTTTATTGTAAACAGTAGCGTGTAACAGCTTCTCAGATTTGTCTCCTATGATTTATTTTTCAAAGAATTCAGGAGACAATATCTGCCTATAGTATAAAGAAAACCAGTATAAAATTTGTTTCTGTTGACCACAAAATTCAGTTTCACTCCTCAAACCGTTCAGTCAACACTCTCCCTCTATGTCACTCCTCAAACCGTGCACAGTCAACACTCTCCCTCTATGTAGTTTAACATGGTGATCTATTTCGTTAAAAAGGCACTGAGTGATGATTTGACAAGAACGATACAGAAGTATGCTCTATATCTAAGGTATCCTCAATACTCCAGGGGTTACAATCACTACATCCTCGATACTCAAGGGGTTACAATCACTACATCCTCGATACTCCAGGGGTTACAATCACTACATCCTCGTTACTCTAGGGGTTACAATCACTAGATACTCGATACTCTAGGGGTTACAATCACTACATCCTCGATACTCCAGGGAGGGGTTACAATCACTACATCCTCGATACTCCAGGGGTTACTATCACTACATACTCGATACTCCAGGGGTTACAATCACTACATCCTCGATACTCCGTGGGTTACAATCACTACATACTCGATACTCCAGGGGTTACAATCACTACATCGTTGATACTCTAGAGGTTACGATCACTACATACTCGATACTCCAGGGGTTACGATCACTACATCCTTGCTACTCCAGGCGTTACGACCACTTCATTCTTGATACTCCAGGGGTTACGATCACTTCATTCTTGATACTCCAGGGGTTACGATCACTACATGCTCGATACTCCAAGAGTTACATTCACTTTCACCTTCTGCAGCCCTGAAACATGTCATTGCAAAATTTAATGCTCCGTGTGCGAACCTTGTGGACAAGCCGAAAAACACTGGTTTGATCCTTTGATATACATCAAACGAATCTCAAGGTCGCTTAACAGTATCTTATAATAGCTTTGAAGTTGGGTGTCGCTACTTTGTAATCTTCAAAAGGTGTATATCAGCATGTGAGTGGTCCCTTTTTTCTCCTGAAATCAATCACATTACTTCGCTTCTGCCTTCACATTATGCCATGACAAGTTCCAGAGGTGCAGAGACCGGAAGTGATCGTAACCACTGGAGTATCGAGGATGGCATATAACAATGATGTTAGCTTTCAGACTAAAGTTTGATCACAAATATATAGAAATCTAGTATAATATGGATATATTTAGATAAAACTTGTCTATTTCCATTTGTGCTGTCCGTCAACATAGTTAATCAGTTTGTCACACCACACAACAGATAGCAGCACTGGTCCTGTTGTCATGGTGTTTATTCCACAAATCTCAATAAGGGTAAACTCAATTCACTCTGAAAATGGGGGGAAAGCAGAAGAAAATTAAAATTGTTGAAAAATAAGATCTTAATATCGTCATTCTACTGTACACTTCCGGTCACGTGTAACTCCCCATTTGCTTGTCGTGTATGTTTTTCACATAAAAACTGCAATTTTCCATTCAATTGGGCCATTTCTTTTCCAGGTGATATAAGCAAGATGTTTAACCTATACATGTATATAAAACCTGTCTTACATGCCCACATACTCTCTTCGCAAGAGCCTCAACTCCAGAGGAAAAGCGGCAAGTTTTGCGATGAAATGTTCGAACTGTACACAACTTTGTGTAGGTTAGCTACCCTTCACTATACTTGTGTACAACCAAAACTGCTCAGATATAATTCGTTTAAGCCAGGAAATCTTCAGTTTCATCAAAAGTCACAAATACCAACTCTAAAACAATATAAATCTGTTGGAACCATCAGAACCTTCAAATTACAGACTTAATTAGTATTCTTAGTGTTCACAGCGTTCTGATGTTCCTTCTAAATATTTTCGTTGCATTCATTACTCACGACTTACCAACACTGACTAGTCTTAAAATGACGAAACAGTTGTATAATATATTTATTATACATATGTAATTCTCAGTTTGTATTAAAAATGAACAACGAAGGAATTTCTATAAGGTAGCATCAATAAAGGGTACGATCAGACATGTACAATGTGTACAGCTTTCGACATTTCGTTGCGAAAGTTGCCATTTTATCTGTTAGGGCACAAGCAGTGTAGCAGTGATCATGACGTACCTGTGTGTAGATTTTACACGTCCATAAAACTTACTTGTTTAATATTTCATTCTATACTTTTGTGATTAGACACTTTAGTAAGTAAAAAGATTTGGCTAAGTAACTGTGACTTCGAATAAAGATGCTGGGCATATTTATGACCTTGAAATATGGCGTATGAAATGAGATTATGTGTAGAGGTGACAGCGTGTGTAACATCAAGATAATATAAATACCATTTACCTTTTACAACGACTGGTACAAGGACATGATGTACCGACTGGTACAAGGACATGGATGTACCGACTGGTACAAGGACATGATGTACCGACTGGTACAAGGACATGGATGTACCGACTGGTACAAGGACATGATCTACCGACTGGTACAAGGACATGATGTACCGACTGGTACAAGGACATGATGTACCGACTGGTACAAGGACATGATGTACCGACTGGTACAAGGACATGATGTACCGACTGGTACAAGGACATGATGTACCGACTGGTACAAGGACATGATGTACCGACTGGTACAAGGACATGATGTACCGACTGGTACAAAGACATGTACCGACTGGTACAAGGACATGATCTACCGACTGGTACAAGGACATGATCTACCGACTGGTACAAGGACATGTACCGACTGGTACAAGGACATGCTGTACCGACTGGTACAAGGACATGATCTACCGACTGGTACAAGGACATGATGTACCGACTGGTACAAGGACATGATGTACCGACTGGTACAAGGACATGATGTACCGACTGGTACAAGGACATGATCTACCGACTGGTACAAGGACATGATGTACCGACTGGTACAAGGACATGATGTACCGACTGGTACAAGGACATGATGTACCGACTGGTACAAGGACATGATGTACCGACTGGTACAAGGACATGGATGTACCGACTGGTACAAGGACATGATGTACCGACTGGTACAAGGACATGATCTACCGACTGGTACAAGGACATGATCTACCGACTGGTACAAGGACGTACTGGTACAAGGACATGATGTACCGACTGGTACAAGGACATGATGTACCGACTGGTACAAGGACATGATGTACCGACTGGTACAAGGACATGATGTACCGACTGGTACAAGGACATGATGTACCGACTGGTACAAGGACATGATCTACCGACTGGACATGATGTACTGGTACAAGGACGACTGGTACAAGGACATGATGTACCGACTGGTACAAGGACATGATGTACCGACTGGTACAAGGACATGATCTACCGACTGGTACAAGGACATGATCTACCGACTGGTACAAGGACATGATGTACCGACTGGTACAACGACATGATGTACCGACTGGTACAAGGACATGATGTACCGACTGGTACAAGGACATGATCTACCGACTGGTACAAGGACATGGATGTACCGACTGGTACAAGGACATGATGTACCGACTGGTACAAGGACATGATCTACCGACTGGTACAAGGACATGATGTACCGACTAATACAAGGACATGATCTACCGACTGGTACTACGTCATGAATGTACCAGCTGGTACAACGTCTTGGATGTACCGACTGGTACAACGACATGAATGTACCGATTGGTACATCAACATGGATGTACCAACTAGTACAACGACATGGATGTACCGACTGGTACAACGACATGATGTACCGAATGGTACGTCATGGATGTACCGACTGGTACAACGACAGGGACAAGAATACAACCAAAGAGACAAGTAAGTACAGGAGCCATTATTTTCTTGTTACAACCATAGAGATTAGCAAATATAGAAAGTTATTTTCCTGGTAAAACCAAAGAGACCATTACATACAGAAAATCATTATTTTCTTTGTTCAACCATTGGACCTGACACAACCATATGGTCCACAAACCATTATATTTTGTACAAACACACAGATCAGACAAGAGATCAGAAGGGGATCTTGGCGCCGACCACTGTTTGATCTTTATTTTTTCTTTAAAAGATGGATCTTAATTTTTTTTACCTCTTCTGTTTTTGCTCAGAATTATATGAAATTTGAACATTTCTCTTAAGAAATAGCTATAATGATAATTCACTGCCAAATCCACAATGTTCACTGTAAGCCGTTTCTTTTTTCTAATCAGTCTCCAAATCAAAAGGGTACAACTAGGAACCAAGGGGACTCTACGCGTGAAATTCTTGAGAGATCCGTCTAGTACTCCTCAAGTAAGAGCAAACTTTCTTTGTCAAAATCAATGGTGGTCCACCTGTTGGTCATTTTGTTTTTCTGACCAGTCCCAAAATCATACGGGCACAGCATGGGACAAAGGGGAACCTAAATATGAAATTTGAGAAAGATCCATCCAATACTTCTCAAGAAATAGCGATAACAAAAATTGTTTACAGACGCAAGATGTAGGGACGGACAGAAGGATGACGGACCATAGACATAGGGCTAAAAACACAACTCCGTTATTTTCCTTGTACAACCTTAGGGACCAGACAAAATAAAAATCATTATTTTCCTAGTACAATCAGAACAAAAGCAATATGACCATAGCAACAGCAGAGACAAGTAAATAAAGAAAGTTGCCAAAATATATATTTCACATTTGTAAAGGTTTTTATCACCTGTATCATCAGCATTGTATGATGGGCCTGATATAGCTACACCAAAGTACACAAGGAAAGCAGAACAAACTCCCTGAAATTACTAGCCTAAGGGCTGTCATTAGTCTTAACCCTTGGACAATCCTTAGTTATATTAATCATTATTGATAAATATCCTTGAGTCCTTTGGGTCCAACAAGGCTATCAGGAGGTTTAATAGGAGACAGAAAATTAAAAACACAATGAACAATAGTAGGAATTTATTTATAAGTTTGTTTTTCAAAACTGATCAACTTTTATGTTTGACCTTTGTCCCTGTGTATAAAAATAACTATTACAGCATTGTGTTTCAATATTCTGTAATACTCATAACTCTGGATGGAGTAAAATATTTCAATATAAATCAATTGGTAGTTGATAAAATGCATATTTAATTAAACTTTAGCACCGTATAAAACAACATGTTTACAGTTTTGTAAAATCAACATTTGAACTTTAAAATAACACCAAATTAAAAAGTATGTCCTTACAAGTAATGAGATCTTGGCATAAAACAAAGGCATACTTTTTTTTATTTTAGTATGATATGACACATCCTCTACACATATATAAATATCTTTATTCAACTTACAATCACGTAATTAGAAACATTCATCATGTTTATCTCTCATTTACTAAAGTTTGTAGAAGGTGCCTTCATTCTATTGTCTACATATTGTCTTATAAATAATGCCTAATCTTAAGTTGCAGATTTTTTCTAAGTTTGAAATGTAGTACTTTGTACCAGTTCTTGAAAATACATAATATTTCTAATGTACCTGTAAATGCAGTAACATATCAGATGTTTTGTTAAACAAAGTGATTAAAGGTTTTGTATATATCATATATTCAGTTCAATGTTCTCAAAATCTGTTGGTAGCTTTTGAGAAAAAGTCTTTGACAAAATAATTTGTGGTACATTTAAGTGGCATCTTCCAACAATGAAAATTGCTACATTTGATTCAAATACAATGGATTGTTTGATAACAACTAGCCAATAATTAAAATATATGAAATTGGAGATTTAATGCTGAATTTCAGAAACTGTCATTTCAAAAAGTATAGGAACTTTCCTATAAATTTAAGAAAGAGAATATGCACATTTGTTATGTGTTTGGCAGCATTTAACATGTAATGAGATTCCTTTAATTATATAACTCTATAAAATTATTTCAATATGCTTTTCACCTTAATGAATATTTGGAGGATTCAGATATTGTGAATTATGCAAAACCATCAATATGTTCAATATGTTCTATATATGAATGAATTAAAAGATTAAAAGGAAAAATAAAGTCAGATATTGAACAAACAAACAAAACAGAATTTTATCAAATCAACATTCCAGTAACAAAATATACATAAATCTATTGTGATCATGCTCACAGCCAACATATTTTCATGCTTTATCTATTTTCCATGAAGTCCCAATACATTTCACTCCATAAACCTCTAAAAATGGCACAGTTTCCCTATCATGGTGGCAGTACAACAAAGCTTCACTACAGTTACTTTCATACAATGAAATATACATCATTTTATCAACAACCATCATAGATTTCTGTTCATGCAGCAGGCCAGTGATTATCAACTGAGTGCAAGATGGTGCAATATATAGTAAGATGTAACAGTATATCAACTAGCTGGTCAGGGATCGGTGGTAGTGCTTTATTGAAGTGTAAACTTTGGTCTTTATTTAGATGTGTAAATGTGATATAAATCTGGGTTAAACTGTAAATATATGTGGTGAGGATTGAGGTGTATAATTTATGAAGCATTTGATGGGAAATATGAATGGATCATTCAAGGTTTAAGTGGTTTTTTATTGTTTTGAAATAAGAAAAGCATGTATTGATAAAAAAATTGATTAAATTAAAAAAATTGACTGAATATGAATTTACAAAAACATGTTGAATTAATCAATACAATTTTCTGATAATTGGTTATAATAACACTATTGGTAAATATATCAGGGTCAATTTGTGTGATTTGAGTATAAATGGGATGTTTCAGTTTAACTGGAGGAGGACAATTTCAGGAATGGATTGGTAAGCAAATATGGTGCTAGAATTTTAATCCCTTACATAAGTATTTTGGTCAAAGTTTTCGGTTGATGTCTCGGAAACAAGCGTTGCACACTCTGACAGGTTTCTTTGACAGGGCTAGGCGAACCTCCTTGGAGGAGCATTCATTACAGAATATGTTGCCACACTGCCGACAATGATGCTGTTGAAAATACAAGAGATAATATGTTACAGTAGGATTTAATATGTCTAAACTCTGATCACCACCAGACACTGATGTCATGGTCCATCACACATACACTGCTCATAGAAACTGTCAACTACAAAGAAAAATATTTTGATCAGTCACAGCTTATCCATTCTCACTCATACCAGTAAACACAACCAATTACAGATTACAATAGGAATTTAAATACACCTCTATATATCTAAATGTGTACGTACACAACTGATGCAATTAATTGTCCCATAATTCTTCTAGATACATTGTTTTATGTGATCATTTGCCATGCAGATTATGCTAAAATGTTTTTAAAAGGATACAGGGTCAAGGCAATAAAAAAAAATTGTAATTGATCAATATCAAGATTATGGTAATCTTTTTTTATAATTTTCAGCTGAATATCACCTTTTCCTCCATCTTTCGAATCAAAACTACAGAACATGCTATATATGTGCTCATAATAATACACAATGAGTGCTCATAATAATACACAATGACATGTAGAAAAATACAAGTATCTCTTGCAGGAGAAAACACCCTAATTTACATGTATCTACTACCTTGGCAATTTTCCATAAAGAGCTTCAGTAGGGGAGATAAATACTTCAGAAAAAGAACAGCAGTATAGAGGTTTCTGCGAGGTAGACAATAGGTGTTAAGTCTGTTGACCAATGTGTTTCTGATGGTAAAATAAACATCTCCAGTATCACATATCACTGTCAACCCTGTCTCCTTCTGATTAGGGCAAAGAAAATCTTCATTTCTACTTTTAGTTTATACTGTACAGTGTACTTATAGAATAATGAAGTGATAAACCCTTAAATATTAGTGTCTTTTGACCACCCCCTACCTCAGTAAAAGAGCAGCTTACATAATTACTTCTAGGCCATTTAAATCACCAACATCCCAATGAAGACCAGGTCTTAGCCTGGCCTTTAACGATGAATAAGACACCTCCCCTTCAGATCTATCAAATTTTATCCCCCCACCCCAACCCATATCATGGCCCCAAGGACAGTTTACAAAAAATATCCAAATATAAACTTTGATTATTTTACAAGTGCAAAACAAATTTTACCAATTTGTATTAATTACTTTTGTTGGACATCATGGAAGTGTGCAAAGGGTTGAAATTGGGTACCCAGGAAAACCCCATGCAGTTGAGCAGAGGAGCTGATATCTTTTCACATCAGATTGAGAAATCAAACCCAAGTCACCCTGATGAAAGATTACCACACTACCCAACCAGCAAAGATACTCGTCAATCATATCTCTTCTTAAAGTCTTAATTTCTACACTATATAAATCTGCGACAAGAGTAAGTAATGCATTTTCATCCCATCGTTCACATTTAACATACGGGATTGATATTGTGGCAGGTGGACAGAACATATTACTCTCAACAACATGCACACTAAGGTAAAAGATCTGTCAATCTGTCGACCTGACAACCATTAAAATCAAAATGGAATAGATAAAATTTATAAATATTCAATAAAAATGGATATTTGGTATAATACTTGAATTATGCATAAATATGATATATAATCACAATAACACTATCACAGCTGCCATAACCACAATGACTTAAGTATATCAATTGTACTATATACATTATTTATCTTATAAGCAATTATCAATTTTGCCTATTAGGAAGAAATAAATTGAAATTATCATTATTTATTTTGTTATGCTAAGGTGTTCAAAACTTTAAAAAGCAATTAAGTAAACTTTCAAAAAAATTCTAAAATTTTAAAAAGTTCTCAAATCATTGAATAAAACAAGATTAACTTTGTAAAGAAATAGCTTTGGATTATTGAAATCCAAGGTAGATAATCTGGGGAATGGAGAAGATATGGAACCTTTTTTATTTGATGATTTTCTCTACATAAAAATGACTTATATGTGCTGTCAGTAAAGGTTAAAATTTTGTAGGCTTTTCTTATAAAGACGTGCTCTATATGAGAACATGAATTTATTGAATGAACTAAATCAACATCAAAGAAAATGATTGTTAAATGTTAAAGGAAATAATAATGAAAAAAGTCCTAAAGAACTCAGGCTATCGGCACAATAAAATACATCTTATAAAAACAGCCAGCAGACAGTCAGTATGGGAATGCTTGTTTTGATCACTGGATATTTGTATCTCACATAAAAACATATCTTATGTTATATCACAGTAGATCCATCACATGGCATTTGATATATAGCAACTTGTGAAGCAGCCTCATTAATACAGTAAATTGCTTTTAAAATCTAAATATTACATATTTAGTCTTTGTCACAAAAAAAATTGGTCCCATCTAATATCATGACTTGATGTTGTCAATACAAGTTCAATACAGAATAAGGTCATCGCTTGTTGATCTCAATGTAACAGTTGTCACATACACGCTGAGGCTTCTTGAAGGAAGGGAGCTTGGCATTTTGTGAGGAACATTCCTGGCAGAATATGTTACCACAATTTCTACAATGGTGCTGTCAACGAAACAAACCCAGGAAGATAAAGACAGAGCAGAATAGGACATACATATATATTACTTAACAAATTATTCTTTTGGTAATGTTAGAGTTACCTCCCCTAACAAATGAATTCCACAAATTAAATTTCTTAATAATGCATTATAGATATCTAAATAAAAATATCAAGAGTCTAAATCTTCTATGGTCAATAATAAACTTTCTTATTTATTACTTCGCCACTCATGTAAAATGATATATGTTTAAAGTAGCATTTGAAATATCACTATTTTTACTTTTCTTCGGAAAAAAAAAAAAAAAAATCAAATCTTATGCCAGTTTTATATATCACAACCACTTACCAACTAGAACAAATTATTTCTTTTTTGTATTACATGTTTTAATCTTTAATCTACATTAAATATTTATATATGCAGGATAAAACCTGAGTAAGCAGCTGAGTTAGTTCAGGTAAACTTTCTTCATTTATTTCAACCATTTTTTGCAACTGAAAACAATTATACCAGTGCATGATGTGTTAAACTGTAAAGGAAGTAATTTGTATCAAACTGATCCACTGTGCTTTAACTTCACATTATTCATTATATCTTATCACAATTTATACTTTAATTTTTATTCCAAATAAAACATTTTCCAAATTTACAAATCTACTTAAGAAAAATGCCCAATAACATAACATTATATTTCAATAATGTCAACTATATATTTCAGTAAGAATTTACATGATCTGAAAGCTTAGCTGCTTGATTAAAGAAGCTAGATCATTATGTCTTAACTTTGACTTGAAATATATTTCATTTTCCTATTATCTACAAATTGTAGTCATTGCCAATTACCATTTCCTTTTAATAGACACCCTAACTTGAAATATTTCCATTACCACATTATAAATATTAATTCTTAAGATAAAGTGGCCACAATTTGAAGAAAATCAACATCTAACTCCTATTAATAAGTTCTACAATGTTTTAAGTGACCTGGGTATGAGACTTACCCGTCGTACGGTGACAGAGAAATTTTTACTGCAATTCATACACTCCTTAACCTCACTGTCATCTGTCCACTTCCGGCTCTGGACCTTGGTTGTAGTTATCTAGAACAAAGTGACCCAGTTTTAAATGACAAAATGAGCTGATCTGCTAATATAATGAAATAATGAATAATGATATTTACAACAACTTTTAGTTTTAACTGTGATAATACTTGAATATTCAAAGATTCCTAAAAGTGACTGAATTTTCATTAAAGTGGAGTCTGTGGTAAATTTGTGACAATATTGTAATCTGTGGTAAATATGTGACAATATTGTAATCTGTGGTCAATTTGCAACAATATTGTAATCTGTGGTAAATTTGCGACAATATTGTAATCTGTGGTAAATTTGCGACAATATTGTAATCTGTGGTAAATTTGTGACAATATTGTAATCTGTGGTAAATTTGCGACAATATTGTAATCTGTGGTAAATTTGTGACAATATTGTAATCTGTGGTAAATATGTGACAATATTGTAATCTGTGGTCAATTTGCGACAATATTGTAATCTGTGGTAAATTTGCGACAATATTGTAATCTGTGGTAAATTTGCGACAATATTGTAATCTGTGGTAAATTTGTGACAATATTGTAATCTGTGGGAAATTTGCGACAATATTGTAATCTGTGGTAAATTTGTGACAATATTGTAATCTGTGGTAAATTTGTGACAATATTGTAATCTGTGGTAAATTTGTGACAATATTGTAATCTGTGGTAAATTTGTGACAATATTGTAATCTGTGGTAAATTTGTGACAATATTGTAATCTGTGGTGAATTTGTGACAATATTGTAATCTGTGGGAAATTTGTGACAATATTGTAATCTGTGGTAAATTTGCGACAATATTGTAATCTGTGGTAAATTTGTGACAATATTGTAATCTGTGGTAAATTTGTGACAATATTGTAATCTGTGGTAAATTTGTGACAATATTGTAATCTGTGGTGAATTTGTGACAATATTGTAATCTGTGGGAAATTTGTGACAATATTGTAATCTGTGGGAAATTTGTGACAATATTGTAATCTGTGGTAAATTTGTGACAATATTGTAATCTGTGGGAAATTTGCAACAATATAGTAATCTGTGGTAAATTTGTGACAATATTGTAATCTGTGGTGAATTTGTGACAATATTGTAATCTGTGGTGAATTTGTGACAATATTGTAATCTGTGGTAAATTTGTGACAATATTGTAATCTGTGGTAAATTTGTGACAATATTGTAATCTGTGGTAAATTTGCGACAATATTGTAATCTGTGGTAAATTTATGATAATATTGTAAATATAGATAGAGTATACCTTTAATAACTGACCCAGCAGTAATTTTTGTTCTCACCTGTAATGATTGGTTCTCCCTTCCAAGCTCCTGTAGAGCAGCTTGTGTATCGTCAAACTTCCTCCTTAATTCTGTTGCTTTCTCTCTCAGCTTTTGTACCTCTTCTTCACTCTTTAGGCACCTGTAGACAAAGAATCTGACTGCCATGACTGAATGAAAGATGTGCTTATTGTGATTAAAATAGCATGGTTGTTCATTTTAATACATCGTATGTACATTTGTATGTATCCTTTGTTTTTTTTAAAGATAATATAACAATAAGTTTTTAAAACGTTTTTGTAGGAAGCAAGTTCAATTTTTGAAAATGTATTTTTACCTATTAAGCTTTCAATTTAATCTGTTAATATCTCATTGATATTTACTAGTTGAAAAATAATTGCCTTAATTTGGGAATATCAAAGTTTGTTTCTGTGAATATCAGTTTTTATTTCTGTAAACATCAAGCAATGTTTTCTTCCTGTAAATATTAATGGCTTTTTCTGTAAAATGAATATAATCTTTCTTCTGTAAAATTGATATCTTGTATCTGTTTTGTAACTATCAAATTGTTTATGGAAATATCAATGTTTTTTCTGCAAATATCAATGTTTTTTCTGTAAATATCAGTGTTTGTTCCAGTCAATATCAGTGTTTGTTTCTGTAAATATCAGTGTCTGTTCCAGTAAACATCAATGTTTGTTCCTGTAAATATCAGTGTTTGTTCCTGTAAATAACAGTGTTTGTTCCTGTAAATATCAATGTCTGTTCCTGTAAATATCAGTGTCTGTTCCAGTAAACATCAATGTTTGTTCCTGTAAATAACAGTGTTTTTGTCTGTAAATATCAGTGTCTGTTTATGTAAATATCAGTGTCTGTTCCAGTAAACATCAATGTTTGTTCCTGTAAATATCAATGTTTGTCTGTAAATATCAGTGTTTGTTTATGTAAATATCAATGTTTGTTCCTGTAAATATCAGTGTCTGTTCCAGTAAACATCAATGTTTGTTCCTGTAAATATCAGTGTTTGTTCCTGTAAATAACAGTGTTTGTTCCTGTAAATATCAATGTCTGTTCCTGTAAATATCAGTGTCTGTTCCAGTAAACATCAATGTTTGTTCCTGTAAATAACAGTGTTTTTGTCTGTAAATATCAGTGTCTGTTTATGTAAATATCAGTGTCTGTTCCAGTAAACATCAATGTTTGTTCCTGTAAATATCAATGTTTGTCTGTAAATATCAGTGTTTGTTTATGTAAATATCAATGTTTGTTCCTGTAAATATCAGTGTCTGTTCCAGTAAACATCAATGTTTGTTCCTGTAAATATCAGTGTCTGTTCCAGTAAACATCAATGTTTGTTCCTGTAAATATCAATGTTTGTTCCTGTAAATATCAGTGTTTGTTTCTGAAAATATCAGTGTTTTTTCCTGTAAATATCAATGTTTGGTACTGTAAATATCAATGTTTGTCTGTAAATATCAGTGTTTGTCTGTAAATATCAGTGTTTGTCTGTAAATATCAGTGTTTGTTCCTGTAAATATCAATGTTTGTCTGTAAATATCAGTGTTTGTTCCTGTAAATATCAATGTTTGTTTGTAAATATCAGTGTTTGTTTATGTAAATATCAATGTTTATTCCAGTAAACATCAATGTTTGTTCCTGTAAATATCAATGTTTGTTCCTGTAAATATCAGTGTCTGTTCCAGTAAACATCAATGTTTGTTCCTGTAAATATCAATGTTTGTCTGTAAATATCAGTGTCTGTTCCAGTAAACATCAATGTTTGTTCCAGTAAACATCAATGTTTGTTCCTGTAAATATCAATGTTTGTCTGTAAATATCAGTGTTTGTTCCAGTAAACATCAATGTTTGTTCCTGTAAATATCAATGTTTGTCTGTAAATATCAGTGTTTGTTCCAGTAAACATCAATGTTTGTTCCTGTAAATATCAATGTTTATTCCTGTAAATATCAGTGTTTGTTCCTGTAAATATCAATGTCTGTTCCTGTAAATATCAGTGTCTGTTCCAGTAAACATCAATGTTTGTTCCTGTAAATATCAATGTTTGTCTGTAAATATCAGTGTTTATGTAAATATCAATGTTTATTCCAGTAAACATCAATGTTTGTTCCTGTAAATATCAGTGTCTGTTCCAGTAAACATCAATGTTTGTTCCTGTAAATATCAATGTTTGTCTGTAAATATCAGTATTTGTTCCTGTAAATATCAATGTTTGTTCCTGTAAATATCAGTGTCTGTTCCAGTAAACATCAATGTTTGTTCCTGTAAATATCAATGTTTGTTCCTGTAAATATCAGTGTCTGTTCCAGTAAACATCAATGTTTGTTCCTGTAAATATCAATGTTTGTCTGTAAATATCAGTGTTTATGAAAATATCAATGTTTATTCCAGTAAACATCAATGTTTGTTCCTGTAAATATCAGTGTCTGTTCCAGTAAACATCAATGTTTGTTCCTGTAAATATCAATGTTTGTCTGTAAATATCAGTGTTTGTTCCTGTAAATATCAATGTTTGTTCCTGTAAATATCAGTGTCTGTTCCAGTAAACATCAATGTTTGTTCCTGTAAATATCAATGTTTGTCTGTAAATATCAGTGTTTGTTCCAGTAAACATCAATGTTTGTTCCTGTAAATATCAATGTTTGTCTGTAAATATCAGTGTTTGTTAAACATCAATGTTTGTTCCTGTAAATATCAATGTTTGTCTGTAAACATCAATGTTTGTTCCAGTAAACATCAATGTTTGTTCCTGTAAATATCAATATTTGTTCCTGTAAATATCAATGTTCCAGTAAAAACTACCTTTCTAACAAGACTCTTCTTTCATCATTGTTGTTTTCTAATTTTGCTTCAAGTTCTGGAAAAAATAGAAAATAATTAAAATCAGAAGTAATATTTCTTCAATGAAGAAATAATTGTATATTTATATATATATCAATTTAAGACATAAGTATGGGATTATGTTTACAGTGGTAAAGATGAGAATCTCTACCTTATTCACATATATTCCTTGTAGCAGAACAAATTTAAAGGGAATGAGGCTGATTAGAATGTATTGGACATATATATAGGTAAAAAATATACTTCATTATGACATTAATCAATTTTAAACCTAAAAAAAACTTGATTTTACCAATCATAAGGTCTGATTTTAGAGTTAGACAGTAATTCAAGGATCATTTGATGGCTGAAACTTGACAAGTTAAGTGTTTGACTTGATAAAGTGAAAGTTGTTTAAAATTATCCTCGGTAATATGCAAGCCCTTCATGCCATCACTGAAGATTTAATATAAAACAACACATGCTCCATACCAAGTTTTTCACCAGACAATTCATCATTGACTTTCGTCAGATCCTCCAGACTCTGTTGTGCAGTAACCAGATCACCTCTAATGGTGGTCAAATTCTCGTTCAGCACTGTTGACTGAAGCTCATATTTTGCTCTTTCTTCATCCAACGCTCTTTGTATATCAGTGCTTCGCCTTTGTTCTTCTATCTATCCGGGCAAAATTCAGACAGACAAATTTATCTATACTTTATCAATAGTTTTTTTACAATCTGAATGACATTTTTCTATAACTAATTAGAGAATTATTTTAATGTGTCACTTTTATATCAGCAGTACTGTTAACTGCAACAAATTTTTGGGGTTGGAGATTTTACATGACGTCATTAACAGTGAAAATCCTTGATAATTTCTACCCAATGAAAAGAATGAAAATTTATAAAGTGTTAATTTTATAGAGCTCTGAAGTGCCAGAGGAAGAATACTATTCTGTATACAATGGTTGAAAGATTTTAGATATATTTTCCGTTTTTATGTTTTTGATAAATTACCAATTTCTTTCTAGGAATTTGACATGAATATATGTTGCTGATATCTGTCTTGTAGTATGTACTGACCAGTTTGTTTTGTAGACCTGAATTTTCCTCTCGTAACATCAGCTGGATTTCAGCAGCCTTGCTTTCTGCCTCTTCTTTCCCTTGTTCAATCTGTCACAATACACACAAGTACACATGCACCAGATAAATACATACATTTTATACCACCTATATACAACTAATTGACAAAACAATAAACATTCAGTTAGGTAAAACTTTATGAATTTTCTACAATGTATCTATAGAATTTGATTGATGTTCTATGTATGTTTTGTGTATAAAAAATATTTACCTTATTATGGCTTATCATCCATTGAGTACAAATTTCAGTAAACACAGACGTTTTCTATATTAATATTAACAGAAATCTTACCTTTTCTATCTTTCCTTCTACTTCCTTCATCTTATTCTGTATTTCTAGTTTCTGACTAATAAGAATTTCTTTTGCTTCCGTCAACTCTGAGACTTCCTATAAAAGAGCACAAATAAAACTTCAGAAAGTGATTTTCTCAATCGTCCAATAACCAAATTATCTCGTATACATTCTAGTTTAAGTGTCCTATCAGAACCATGATTGATCATGTCTGTTCTACAATAGGCCATCAGGGGCCAACATACAAATTCTGACTCAAAGTCAGAGGTGAACTTGCTACTGGACAATGCATCCTTGGGAGTCAATATACAAATTCTGACTAAACATCAGGGATGGGCTTATTATGGGACAATAAAATCCAAGGGAAAAACATACAAATTCTGACTAAACATCAGTGAGGGTTTATAATCATTACAGGACAATAAATCCCAGGGGACCAACATACAAATTTTGATTCTTGATTGAGTCAGGGGTGGGTTATAACAAGGTAACAATTCATTTGTTATTGATTCTACACTGGTATGGGTAGGCTTATTACCAGACATGGTTGTAATGCTGGACAATATGGTAATACCCAAGATTTTGCTCAGGGGAGGCCTCTTGTATACAGCAGTCATTGATACCAAGTAGCATTGGCATTATAAGAAATATGGCATTATCTTTAAATGTATATTACTGTAGTTAATTTTCTAGTACAATTAACAACTCTAAACTTATTGAATGCATTCCATTATAGTCACAAAAAAAAAAAAAATTACCGTTCGTCTTTCTTGCTTCTCCATCTCTAACTGAGAAGACAATCGTTTGATGTCACTTTCATAAGAATCATTTGCAGCTTTTGTTTCTGAACAAGTCTTTCTCAGCTCAATAAGCTCTGTCTCCATGGTTTCCTGTAGGTTAGATGCTCATTTCAATTGCAAATCCAAACTTTATGTAAATCCAAACTTTATGCAAATCCAAACTTTATCAAAGCCAGTGTTTCTTACCTATTGACTTCTACTTCATTTTACAACTGATAAATCTGACAGCATACTGAATGCTGTACAAAAGACTTGTGAAAAATACTTATCAGACTTAATTATTAAGGTAGTAAGGATTGTTAATCAAACTTGTTAGCACATATAACAAATTATTATACCATATGCTTAAAATATTCTTCCTGAAAACCTCCTGTAAGGAGAGTTCTCTACTTACCTTCTGTTTAGAGAGTTCCTCCTGTTGAGTCTTACTATCTGAAAGTTCTTTGTCCAGTTCTACCATCTGTGTATTCATGGCACTCCTAACCTGAAAACCCAACAAATGCATGTACATCCATTGATTGTCCAATTAGAAATTTGGTAACAAATCTCATTCAAGGTGAAGCATGAAGTGAGGTGTTACAGAATGTCAGCATGGGACTGAGATAAATTAATTTCATCATTTAGTTATAATTGATTCTATGTTTTTCCAATTTCCAATTAGATCAGATTGTCTCCCTTTGTAGTATTATGTCAGAAAACCAATTAAATGTGATGTTTTAATCATGATATTACTTAACATGAAATATGGCATAAAGGTACTATACAGATCAGACAGGACTGAAAATTCAAGGTCTGAGAATTATAAGAGATTTCCCTGTTATATGATCGAGAATTGGATGTTCTATTTTTGTTTTACCTCACTGAGCTCATCAAATGAGTTGTTGAGCTCTGTCTCACGTTCTCTGGCCTTAGCGAGCTCTGTCTCAGTGTCACTGTGCTTATTCTGGAGCTCTTGTAGACTAGTTTCTGTGGTAGACAGCTTGGTCTCCAAGCTCTTCTGCTTCTCAGTGAGATTCTACAACACAAGACAAATGCCAGAAATAAGCCCCTGATTGTTAAAAAGTCCATCTACAACTGATGCTCTTAGACAGGTCTGAAAGCCAATCATATTCCATCACCCTTCCATAAGCCAACTCTCTGACATTGAGAAAGAATCACTGTTGATCCATATCAGCTTATTTTGTGATAATTTCAGTACTTCTGAGAAAAACCTGGTGAATTTCTAATTCTATTTTATCTAAAAAACGTTTTGTAAGATATAAATGAATAAGTATAAAACAATGAATTTGCAGAAGATGTCAGATGTGACCTATGTCCCTTTAACATTGACTGCTGACCACCTTAATAATAAAGAGTGTAGAACTTAATGTTATGACACAATTGCGTAAACATCAACCACAGACAGACTCTAATTTCTTATAATTAAAGCAGGTCTGATTGTCCTATTATATCCAAGGAGGACAGAGTCCTTCTGATCTGACCTTCTCCAATGTCAGAGGGGGGCTCCAATATCTCATTTAACACAGTGAACATAAGGCTGGGAATCTTACCTTGACCTGTTGTTGAAGTTCTTCAGACTCTGCTACCTTGCCTTCTATCATGGCCTTCAGCTGTTGTTCCTTTAGCTCTATCTGTTCCTTCTGTTAACACAGAATTTAAAACTTTAATCAATAAGACAGATTGCTAGACTTCCTTGGTGTATATCACTTTGTTAATATTAATCAAAACTTCACCAGTTCAATTTCCAATGTTTAACTATATACACCTCCTGAAACAACAGTTTTATCTCCAAGATCAGTCACAAGAATATCCACTTTTTCTTCCTTGACCTTTGACCTCACACATATGTAGCTTGAGGTTTCCTTGAAATCAATAACCTGTCTCCACTTTTTTTTCAGCAGAATTTTGAATTTTAACCTTACTTGTCAGCAGATACAACTAATGTTTTGAATTCAGGAACCAATGTCCAGTTTTATAACGATGACCTCCAATAGCTTAGGTCAAGCCTTGAACTTTGACCTTACTTACCTGTAGCTCCTGCTTGTCTTTAAGATCAGTGACTTCAGCATCCAGCTTGTCTGCTCGACTTTTTAATTCTGCTTTCTCTGCTTCAAGACTGGTTATCTATAGTCATCAGTGATTAAATTTAAAGGTAACTCAATTTCTGGTGCAATTAAAGATGTCCTTCACTTCAGTGTGTTGATGAATACACAGAAAAACATTAAAATTTATCAAATAAATCCTTCTTTTATTGAATGACTCTATTGGCATGCCAATAAAGATTATTGGATTTGAACTGAATCAAAGATAAAATTAGAGAATGATAAACTACAACATTATTCAAATAGGCAAAACACAACAATACAAGACTGTTGTCAACTATACAATAATAGTACATTTTTTTTTATTTTAAACTAAAATATCTGAAAATTTGAAAATCAATAAAATGTTACCTGAGACTGAAGATTTGACTCTGAAGCAGCCTTATTAGTAACCAACTCCTGTAAACAAATCAACAACACATATCTATTAATTAACACATAAATCTGTGTCCGACTCTAAGCCAATAAAATAAACAAGAAATAAAAATTAACATCATTTGTGAGCTTATCAATGATTTCTTTCAAAACATACAAGGAGCAAATTATTTGCAATATTGTCGCTAAAAATGTCCCTTGCCAGCTTTTCATTTTTTTCGCCCCCACAATTTCAAATGAAAATGTACTGTTGAAATAATTTTGAGAGGAAATCTGTAAGGTAAAATATGTATAGGTTTAAGCTTTAAGTACCAGTAAATAAACATGTTGATATTCAACAAGTTAAAATTTCAAGTTCAAAATTTAACAAATCTTAACACATGGTCAATTCTGTATCAAAAGTATTTGAAGTGGACCTTTAACTAGTACTTTTATCATCATAGGTCAAGTTCTTGATTCCTCGGCTGTTTACTGGAACCATTTGTAAATAACATACAACAATTGTAAATTGGTTGGAAACCATTGGCCGACCTTCTCAGTGGACAGTTGTGTCCTTAGTTCGACCAGCTGTGCACTCAAGCTGTTTTTATCTGCTTCATGCTGATCCCTGCTTTTCTTCAGCTCCCCTTCCAAAGATGTCTTGAAGGAAGTGTTAAAAATTTTACCCAGTATTTATTTCATTGAATTATTTTATTCAGAAGGAACATTAAATATGAACCTTGTAATCATGCCCAAACAATGATAATCTGTTGTATTATACAAATCATGTACACACAGGATTTAATTTCAATTCTAGATGATGTACAGTTTGAAGAAATTTACCATTTTACAAGTTCTCAATTTCATATCACTGTAAACATTAAGAACTGTTATTTAACAACTGGAAGTAATCACCAAATTGAATAAGGAAAATATCTTAATAAGAAAGATTATATAATTGTTAAGAAAAATACCTTTTCTTTGGTGAGTGTGTCTGTTGTTTTTTGAAGCCTTTCTTCCTCAGATGTGAGGGATGTCTTTAGCTCACTGACATTTTTCTCCAACAGGGAACAGTCTACCAGAAGTTTCTCTTTCTCTTTTTGTAGTCCATTCAACTATAAAAATCAAAAACATCTATCATAAGTCAGCATATTTCTACTCAGCAGTAAATCACGAAATACCAAAAACCAGACACTGTGGATGTCAGAGTTTTTAGCTTTAATGACTTACCTCCCCTTGCAGTTTCTCCTGAATAGCTGCTCCTTCAGATTTCATCTTTTCTAAATCTCCTTTCAATCCAACAATATCCTCTTTATGCTTCTTTTCCATCTAGAATAGACAATGTTACAATTTAACAATATAAATTTTGCTTATAATGGAGAGTTCAACATAATAATAAACTTTTTAAACCAAACTGGAATAAAGTACCAAATTATCTTAGAATCCAAAATATCAGGCTTCATGAAGTTGCATTTTTGTATAAATATTAACTCAACTAAGCTGTATCTTAACTGAAAGAGTACCAGAAGAAAAAAGATAATAGTCTCAAGAAAGCTTTAATCATTTACATAATTTGAATAACTTCCATTAATCTGTTGATCTTAATACACATCATACCAACCTTTGTAATCTCCTCTTCACGTGCCTTCACGGTGGCTGTCTTTTCTGTGAGGGATTTCTTGGTCACTTCCAACTCATTCGTCAGTTCATGGCAAGATTTCTCCTTTTTCTCAACATCTGCTTTCTATACAAAACAGACATTTATAATTCATTTCTATTTTTTAATATCTGACTATTTCAAAGGTATAACTGAAAATATATCTTTTGTGTTTCTTAACAAATAACTATATCACTGAATTTGTTCTGCTATTAAAAATTATTTTACAAATTGTAATCAATATGTTGGGTACAATGTACATATTAGAGACTAGACCATTACCTGAACTCTTTAAGCAAATACCCATTACACAAGACAAGTGTATATACATTTTTGCACATAATTGATCTTTCTTAAACCAAGACAGATGATAAACAAAAAAGATGATGATTGAGTGAAACTTTGTAAAGAAAACTTTTTTCCTGATTTCATTTTCTGAAGTTTAATGATAACATGTGTACCTGACAGGTAGGACAGAACTGATTGATCAGAACTTCAAACTCACCACAGTGACTAGTTGTTGGTTTAATACTGTTGTCTCAGTAGTTTGTTTCTCAATCTGACTTTTAAGTTTTCCTATCTCTTTATTACTGGTTTTCTTTGTCTGGAAAAATAATACCATATGAAAAACACTAAACAGGTTTGTGGACCATAAAGGACCATACATATACTTCAAGTCTTTGATATTTTGATAAACATTTTCAATAATGGGAATATCTTTACCATACAGAAATACTAATTCAAGTCAATATAAATAACAAATTAGATTAGGAAATGGAAGGAAGCATACAATATTTATAGAAACATCAAGGTATTCTGTAAGATTTCCTTTTTCAACTTTTGTGAAAAGAAGAGTATTGTGTTTAACTTCCTTTGCCAGTGAAGGACACCTCTCCAAAGGGGATGTAGGAGTACAGATATAGGGCCTTCTTACCATGTCAAGGTCTTGTTCCACTTGTATAAGCACTCTTGTTTTCTCCTCTAGAACATTCTTAGTAGATGATAACTGGTCTTTGGTATCTTTAACTTCTTTCTCTGACTTCTCAAGTGCTGCCAACTAAGATGAAATATGGAAGCTGAAATCTTATAAACTCTTAACTCTTGATTGTGTGACACTCAATATTGAAAAAGTCTCAGAACTGTAAACAATGATTTTAATTCTTAAATATTGAAGTCACAATTTTCAATTTTCATTTTAGGGCCACATAAGTTTAACCTCTTTCAAGTTAATCTGATTGATTTTTAGCTGTGGTCATATAGTCGTACACTAGTTATCTTTATAGCCTCTTATCTCATGTGAGAGTCTAACTGATATTTTTAGGAAATTATTGATTACCAAAATCAAATTAAATCAAATTTAAAAAGCTTGCCTGTAATTACCTTTTCTTTGTGCTGTCTTTCTAAACTGGTGTGTTGCTGGGACAACAGAGTGTATTTTTCTAGCTGTTCCTTTTGTGATGTTTCCATGGCAACTATTTTCTCTTTTCTAGAAGCTAAATCCTTCTGTACCTGTACATCACAAATAAAAGCAAATAAACTAGATATTAATGAAAAATTACCTTTTTTTCTGAAAAATACACTTACTACTGTGTATAAATCAAAAACATTATGTAAAAAAGGATAATCTTTTATAGACTTGGATATGAAAACATGAACAACGCCTGAGGTATATCATCTTAAATCAAATGGATCTATGATTTTACAATTAGAAATCCTTGAACACCAGAACAAACTTAACCTCTGCCCTCACCTGGTCTACCTGAAGACGCAGTTTTTCTAGCTCTGACACCTTTTCCTCCACCATGTTTTGTGCTGTCTTGAGATGGTTCTCCAAGTCGACCCTCTGACTGGTCTTAGCTGCCTCTAAACCCAGCAGAGCTTCTGCCTGTAATAACAAACTGCTAATTACCAGTTCCTTAAATCAGAAGGGAAAATCAAGGTAGTAGCTATGATATTATAATTGAAATGTAATCTCCACAATTAAAATTATATATGCCTTACATTGAATATGCTCACTATGACCTTGACTACTGACCTTGACCTTGACCTCCCCCTCCAGCGTGTGTACCCTCTGTTGTGTAGAGGTCAGCTGTTCTCCTCGTTCCTCAAGTGTTGCCTGTAACTTCTGAACTTTGTCCTCTGTTGCCTCTAATTGACCTTTGGCCTCTGTGACTTGTTTGTGTAAACTCTCAACTTTGACTTCATTTTCAGTGGTCTGTGTTTGTAGGGTCTGCTCCATGGAAGTGAGTTTCTCTTGTAACATTTCCTAAAGTAACAGTAGTAGGGATGTATCAAAATTCTACATAATAAACGGAAGTATTTCCCATTACATATGTTGGCCTATTAAGAGATAGCATAATCAAAACATGGTATTAACATACATCACTAGTGACAAGGAATTTTCACTTATTTCTATATTTTATGGGTGAAGAGATGGTTCTGAAGTTCTTCACAAACTACTATTGTTAATTGTGAATGTTATAAATTTGATCCAAATGCTCAAGAGTTCTAGAAGTATGCATACAGAAGTTATGTATTTATGAGAAACATTAAGATTGCCGACTAGTTTCTGTATTCAGTTGAAAAGACAACCTTTCAAACTTATTGAAAACTTACCTTTTCTTGTTTCAACTGGACAATGACTGTCTCAGTACCTTCTCCTGCCTCTATCTGTACAACACAAAAACATCAAATATTTTAAAATTTGTTGATAATCAGTACGCAATACTAGAAATAGACAGTGTATCTTTAAAGAATTGCTAAAAACGAATATAGTCATATGATATTCAGAATTTTATGAAAACTTTGTATCTAAAACTTAATGTCCAACTCAAATTACAGGATCATTTCAAATATCAATTAAATATAATTAAACAAATAATATCTTTATCAATAAAGAATTATTCTAGAACATTTTGATTTGGTATCAATTGCAGTCAAACTTCACATATCATACTTATCAATGAAAATATTTTCAGTACAACCTTCATGTGTAACATGAATCACAATTCACTTTTAGTGAAGATAGATTGTACATCAATTGAATTTCATAAACATTGACACAGATTGTAATTAATATCACTTGACCTTGGCTATAAGGTCAGTCCTCTCTGTCTCCAGCCTAGTCACCTCCTCCTTAGAAGATGTCACCTGGTTCTCTAAGGACATGATCTTCTCCTCTCTGAAATAGTTACAGAGTTTATCATAACTGTATACACTATATCAGTGCTTTCCCATTCCTGTCCCTTCACACATATAGTTATATATAGGAGTAAGACAGATCACTTGGTTGCATGTTACAAACAACCTTGTAATTCAAAGTTAACTGAACAGGTTTTCAAAGCTTTAGAGAACTTAATGCTTACTTTGACACACATATATTGTATAGACATACTTATTGATGAGAGAATTTACAATGTCATAGACGAGTAGCAGTGACCTACTTTGATGTGACCTTCCGCTGCTCTTCCTGGAGTAGTGATTCTTTTTCCCTTATGGTTGTCTTCAGCTCATCATTGGCTGTACACTGAGGACAAACAAATTGACAATACTTGAAAATTAGGTATACTATATCATGATAATTTTTCATCCCCCATGAAACAAGTTTGCAGGGGATATTAATTATGCACAGATTTGACTCCACCTGTGCTTTAAAGGTCATTTTCTGCACCAGCGCTCTGAAACTGTTCAAGATAATTACTTAAATCTCTCTACAGTTATCAAGCTAATAATGTAGTAGTGTCTTTTGCTATTGAGAAGTTCTCCATTTAGATCATTTTTCTGTTACCATGGAAATAGATAGGCCAAATCACAAAGTTCAGTTTTTTAAGACAAGTTTTCTTAAACCTTTTAAAGTAATTACTCAAACCTTTGTACAGGCATCCAGCACGTACTCTGATAGAAGTTCTCCAATTCAATACTTTATCTGATAAAACTTAACTTGTTGTAATATTAACATTAATATGATTGAGTCTTTCTATTAAAATTTTATTAAATTGAATCTTATTTTTGTTAAGGACAAAATGGTTTTATTGATTATATCTGACTGACCTCTTGTTGATAATGCTGTGTCATACTGGAAAGTTGCTGTTGTAAACCATCCAGTTCTGATGTCTGAGACTCTCTGCTGGACTGTTCCTAAAAAAAACAAATTTATTTCCAACAATTTCAGCTACCACTAAATCCCAGTAAAAACAAATACCATATATCTGAATGTCCAAGTATGCTAGTCAATAATCTAGGTGTTGTACATATGAGGTCTCAATATCTAGTCAGCACTTATCTGGCTGTCTTAATATCTAGCCACCATCAACCTGGTTGTATCAATATCAAGTCAGTACTAATCAGGTTGTTTCAATATCTAGTCAGCACTTATTATATTGTCTCATTATCTAGCCATCATCAGTCTGGTTGTCTCAATATCTACCCATCATCAATTTGGTTGTTTCAATATCTAGTCACCGCTTCTCTGATTGTCTCAATATTCAACCACTACTAATCTAGTTAGCTCACAAAAAAATACTTAGATAATCTGATTGCCCCATTGTCCAGCCACTGCAAATACCCTTGTTTCAGTATGACCTACCACTTGTCTGAGAGTCACAGATATTGAAGAAGCTAAACACTCCTTATTTTGACCTTGCACCTAAGGAAAACTTACTTTTTCAAGTTCCAGCTTGAGGTTATTACACTGTTGCTCCTTTTGGTGCAAGAGTTCCTGTGATTGTGACCTTTGATCAGTCAATTGTTTCTCAAGGTCAGAGATGATGGTTTCCTTTTCATGGACAGACTGGGATGTCTAAGAGATGGACAAAATTATAACATCACATCACAAGCTTTTGAATCATGTTAAATTTGTATTCATAAACAAATTTTTAAACTTCTTATCAAATCAATCTGCAATTAAAAGTTATTGGCAATTAAGTGACAATTAAAAGTAATTGTAGAAGTAAGAGCTAGATAAAGATTTTTTAATTGATATTGAAAATAATCGTACTTTTGAAACAGAAATACAATAAGAAACATCAGTATAACTCACCTTTATCAACTCCTCCTCTACATCCTTGACTTTGGCCTTGGTCTCCTCCAAATTCTGATTGGACAAGGTCAATTCTGATTCACGCCTATCAACGGTTACCTGGAGGTCTGAAATCTGATTGGCTTTCTCAATCAACTGTTCCTGAATGGTGCTGCTCTGTTCTTTCCCCTAATATGGTCAAAACAATATGTATAACATTGATTCTCCTTAAAGAAAAAAAGTCTTAATTCAAGATTCAACACTGTGAATATGAATATGAAAAGCAAAAATTAAAATTTATCATGTTACAATTTTCTGGTGATATCAAAAGTAATCAAGGACCTTGATCTCCAGAACATGTACCCATCCACGACATTTAGGTTGTTGACCTCTACACAAGTATAACGTTTGCACTCACGGAAAGGAGGTCTGACTGCAGCTGTCTGTACTGTTCATCTTTCTGTTTAAGTTGTGTCTGAGTAGTCACTAGGTCATCACTTGTAGAGTCAAGGTCACCTTGAAGCTTCACAACTTCTGCATCCTTGATTTCTAAATTCTTCTCAGCTTCCTCAAGTTTTTGAGTCACCTGGAGTAACCATTAAAATCACATAAGTATACATGAATTCTGCTTTAAAACAATCACGATGATGCAGTCAAAAACTTGAAACCGTCTTTTTCACATAACTGAATAAGCTTGTTTAAAAATGCTTGACTGCTGACATTTCTATGAAATCTCAACTTGCAAGACCTAAAAACACATACTGAAAATGCATGAATTTGTCTCCATAAATGTGAATAAAGACGACAATATCAGATTTTTATGTATAGTTGGTAGTACAATTTGTACAAATCACCACCAAAAAAGAATGTCTTTACATTAATTTTTAATTACAAATTGTCAACAAAACATTAACAAATACTCCTCCAGCCACATATAATTAGTCTTACAATTCAATAATTATCTCTGTATTTCAACTATGATAAGGCCATTTCATTAAAACATCTATCTCACCCAAGGAGAATTTAATCTATTTGTTCAGAAGTACTAGGCAGGAAACTGAATCATGGATAAAAGTGATTTATTTTGCAGTCCCCGGGTCAAGGAGATGTTTTACTGGTCAGGAATTGTCCTACAAATTTATCTCAAATCTGACTGCATGGTGTAATTTTGTGTTCAATGAAAGTGAAACTTCAAATCTTTCTAAATTGTTTTGATATTGCTATCTCTACCCACCGATTTCAGGTCTGACTGCAGCTGTGTGAAATCGTTATCTTTTTCTCGGAGCTGGGTCTCAGTGGTTGCAAGGTTACTACTCACAGAGTCAAGGTCACCTTGGAGCTTGACAACTTGAGCATCTCTGCCTTCTGCATTTTTCTCAGCCTCTTCCAGCTTCTGTGTTACCTGAAATGTTATCACATCATTTCAGAAAAATCCACTTTTATTTTGCATCTGAAACAAGTTTGTAGATTGTTTTCAAAATAGTGCAGAAACGAAATACATGGTTTCTATGATATTAGTATGATTTCTTTAAATTACTTTGTTGATCACAACTTGCACAGCAGTAAAAAGTGTAAAGAAAGTTCAATATACACATATTCAATACTCGTGTACTGAGCGGTGTACAGATTCTGAAGTGCAATCATAGCTGCATTAGTAAGTTAACTAAAGAAGTATACTGTGTATTGTGAAGATAAAAGTATTAAGAATTAGTGCAGTTATTTTTTAACAGACTACCTGGTAATCAGATTTACAGAGGTCACATTGTGATAGACAAACAGAACAGGACACTAGTTAAAACCTTTATATCAAATAGAGTTTGATGGTAAGTTGTGTAAAGAACAAGTAAATTCAATAAATGAATGTAACAGTGTCTACTGAATGTTATAAAAGTTCAATCCAACACAAATTAAATTTGAAAACAGACCTATTAACTACCACAATGGTGTGCATTCCCACCATATAGTAGATAAATAACTTTATAGCTTGGAAACACATTTTCAGGGTTATTAGTGTTTCAGGTTTTAGAACTTACTGCTTTGAGGTCTGACTGTAGCTGTGTGTTCTGTTCTTCCTTCTGTCTAAGCTGGGACTGAGAGGTTGCTAAGTTATCACTAATGGAGTCAAGGTCACCTTGGAGTTTCAGAACTCCTGCACCCTTGACCTCAGTATTCTTCTCAGCTTCCTCCAGTTTCTGTGTTACCTGTCAATGATATACATCAATGTTCAAATTCTATGTTGTTAAGTCCATCATATAAAGTTGATGTGGGCATACAACACATAATTTCAAAGTGTCAATCCATCCTACCATCCATGAGTCTGTCGGTCTGTATATCATATTTTAAATGACTTTAAGTTTAGGTCCATTTCTCAATCAGTCATTGTTTAATGAAGCTTAACTTCCGCAATGGAGGTTTTGTTTGAGATAAACAAAAATGTTTTTAGTGTTTACTCTATATTTTACTAACCCATGAGCAAGTTATAAATGTTTAAAAAAAATCATCATTTTCAAATGATCTTTCATTGATTCATTGTTTGACCTTTTCTAATTGACCTCTGACCTGCTGGAATCGTTCCTGTAGTTGTTGGATTTCATCATTTTTTTCTTTAACTGTACTGGTCAGCTCCTCCCTCCTCCCTTCCAGATTAGACACAGAGGACTTCAATCTTCAAAATAAAATTTCATGCTTTACTAATTTACAAAATTTACCTATACATATAATACAGAGTTCTTTAAAAAATATAATAAAAAACATTGCTTATTACAAATAAGCTTGAAGTGACTGTACATGTGCATGTTTCAAATTATTCACACTACAGACATAATAATCTCAAAACTACAAATCAAATATGTGCTGCATGATTTCTGGTTTTTTTTCTACAAATAATCAATAAAATAAATCATTTTAAACACATACAACTCTTAAAATAGTATGGTAATATAAAAAACAATTTGACATTCTGGTTCTTCTTGAAATCAGTATATTTTCTTATAAATATTCGATTTTTTTCAAAGCCTCATCTGCAGAACTTGCATAGTATATCTGTTACACTTTTTTAGCATTTCCATACCATTTTCTCACAAACATCTACTAGTCTGTATATAAAGTAAACAATTGTTCCATGCCTCTATATCATAACTCACTGTTGTATTTCCTCCAAACGTGGGGCTGCTCCCATCTGAGACTCCAATTCTTTTACTCTCACTTCAGACCTGTGCAATGAAAATGTATTTTTAAATAATAGAAACATTTTCACAGGATCACCTTTCTGCTTTCTCAAGCCGACTAAAGATTTTTATTTATTGATAACCTATTCTTATCAAAATACAAATTTTCATGTACTTACTCTTCAAACTTGGCCTGAAGTGTTCTGTGTTCCTTTTGTAGGTTGTCACGTTCACGCTCTGTCTCCTGGGACATATTGTCCATGAGTGTCTGTACAGAGATAAGTTCTTCCTTCAGCACCATTACATCCTCTACCCCTGGTCTGTAGAAAATCAAATACATCACCATGTATACTATATGGTGCGTTGTCTCTGATGAATTCACACAACTTACGTCACATTTAATATCACATTTATATTAGGTTTTTTACATAAAATTCAATCCCATCTTGGGTTTGATTTCCAATCAACCTCATTAAATTCAGACTGAATTACAAGTCTAATTTCACATAGATTGGATTATCAATACAAGTTAGTCTAATGAGACTGATACCCTGATTTTGTTATATCTTAAATTATATTCATTATAAAGATAAAAAAAAATCGAAATAGAATACCTTTGTGCCAGCTGGACTTCCAAACTCTGAATTTGTGAAGTCTTGGTTTCTATCTGTTGCTGTAATCAATAAAACCCAAATTAGTTTACTAGAATTTAGAAGAATTCTCACAATTTTCCCGAGATCATTAAACAAACAGCTATCTATAAACTTCAGCTTACATTTCTGAAGTCACCAAACAGCTATCTATAAACTTCAGCTTACATTTCTGAAGTCACCAAACAGCTATCTATAAACTTCAGCTTACATTTCTGAAGTCACCAAACAGCTATCTATAAACTTCAGCTTACATTTCTGAAGTCACCAAACAGCTATCTATAAACTCACCAAACAGCTATCTTACATTTCTGAAGTCACCAAACAGCTATCTATAAACTTCAGCTTACATTTCTGAAGTCACCAAACAGCTATCTATAAACTTCAGCTTACATTTCTGAAGTCACCAAACAGCTATCTATAAACTTAAGCTTACATTTCTGAAGTCACTAAACAGCTATCTAGAAACTTAAGCTTACATTTCTGAAGTCACCAAACAGCTATCTATAAACTTCAGCTTACATTTCTAAAGTCACCAAACAGCTGTTACCATACACAATGTATCATGCAAACTGGATAAATGTGACAATGATAATCAAATTCCATTATGTCACCATGTCATAGAAAGAATATCTTTTTTTAACAAGAAAATTTTTTTCAGGAACTACAAGAAGGAAAACTTAGTGCCTTCTGTACAATGTATCAAGAAAAGACAGCAAAACTTTTGAACATGTTGAAAGGAAACTTAGTTCTCTATAATGATGAGATAAGACAAGTACCAAACAATGGTGGTACTTTTTATAAACATATTTATCCTGGAATAATTGAGGCCATGAAACCAACATACAAGTTCTGACTTACAAGTCAGGGGGTGGGCTTATTGACAGTCAATGCAATAGCATTTGCTCATAATTCTACTGTATATGAATGGATGATTTTAAAGTGTCATCAAGGTAAAACGATTTTTTAACTGATTTTTTTATCATTGCATGTATATATATCAAGTCCATCACCTTACAAACAATGACAGTTGACTTTCGCTGAAGTATGCACATTATCAGGTTAATTAATAATTACAAAAAGAAAATCCTTTTCTGTTGATAAATAGTCTAGTTATGCAAATTTTTGCATCATATATGATAACCATGTGCACAAAATACTGTCGCCTGTAAAACAAAAATGACTAACCAAAGAAGTGGTCAAGTTATACGATAGAACTCTACTGTAAATATCGGGACAGCATAGAAACGTCACTAGAAGTGTATGATGTATGATCAATAACAAATCAATGTTTTTAACATGATTTCCTTTTAATACAGGTGGGCATACTACCTGGGATTGTTGTCAGCATAAATATGGTTACTTCCTAAATAAGAAATTGGGACTACACTACTCTTTGAGTTTTACCTTCAATGTTAGGATGTGGTCCTCTAGAGCTGACCTTTGACCTTCAACCTCATCAGCTTTGGCTTTCACTGTCACAAGATCACCTGCCTAAAATGCAGTTGAAACAATCAAAATTAATTGCTTTTTAACGGAAGATAAAACAGTTAAAGAAACATTGTATCTAGATCCATTAACTACACAGAGGATCATTACTACCAACATAAAACTAATCTAGACGTACTGTCAAGTCATTCATTTCAATCACGTTTCATTTCCATTAATTGTCTGGGTTCCATCAATCCTTATATAACTCCATATGTCCACAAAATGATTAAAAATTTGAACCTTACAAGAATTGTTGCTACTAATGGATTTCAGAAGCTTAAAAAGTTAAGACAATCTTTGGGAAAAAATTCAATTACATACCAAAAAAGTGGAGTCTGAGAAACTTCTTTCAACTAAAAGAAGGACTTAATTAGTAATCATAATATGGAGAACTTTTATATTGTTACTAATTAGTATGAGACCAGACATACCAATTCACCCGACTTTGACCGCAGTCGATCCCTCTCTGTTGTAACATTCTCTGCATTAGCTGTCAACTCGGCAATCTTGGATTGTAAGTGGTGTACCTCAGAACTCACTACAGAAAACCACAATTTTTCCTTTTTTTAAATTTCCTAAAATCAGTGATTACTACTTACAAATGTATTTAATGAGTACAAAGGATTGAGTCTAACACGGTAGTTCTTCCTTATACTGTATGTTAACAACAGAAGAACAACGGTGTTGGACTCACTCCTTTGTACTCATTACCTGGAATTTAAGTGAGACCTCCTGTATACTATGGATCCACGGCTAGTTCAACAGGATTTCCACCGAAATTTACTCTTAGGGAGGTTGTGCCTACACACCCCTGCTCTCCCCACCACCCATAGTAAATGTACTTAATGTTAAAGTGCAGGGGAGACAAACCTAACATAGAATACATTATATGTCCTATGAAACAATTTGTTTTAGATAGTCGATTACTACCAATTTTTCCAAATTTTGATGTACATTTGATAACAGGCAAGAGAAAAAAAATCAGTTCATGAATTTTCTATACTAGAACCAAGTACATCTTACAGTTTGGTTTCTCTGCTATAAACAAGGTAGTATGAATAAATAAATAATAAATAAATTTACAAAATACTCACACAGTGTTCTGCTTTCCTCTGAACCCCTCAGTTGTAATCGACACATCTCAAGCTCAGCACGTTCCTGTAACATACACATAATACAGTTGATACGGCAGTGTGTTTACAGTTTATCATGTCTGATTAGGTCAATTAGAATTCAGGAAACAACGAAAAATTATAAAAAATAAAAGTATACCAAAATAAGTAAGTATATAATACGTGTAGATATCTTTGAATACTATAATTTTACCTGAAAATAACTCTAAATTCAAATTATTTGAAAATGAAATCAGCAAATGTGTACAGAACATGGCCAAATTTGGAAGATTAGAAAGATGAATAGTAACTATGGTTACCTGGGCTGACAGAGGTATGTTTGGTGTGGACCCCGCCTCAGCAGTTTTCTCTAATTCTGTTTTAAGCTGTTCTGTGTACCAGCGCTCTTCTTTAAGGGATGTTCTAAGATCATCTATCTCCTGTCTCATCGCTAGAACATCTCCATCTCTGTGAAATAATGCAGTTGAACTGTAAAGAATATTCTGGATACTTATAAGTAAAACGAATCTGATGTTCAGCAGAAGTATATTTCTATGACTAAAACTACATTCCAAGCATAAAGAACTTCAAGTACATCTATTGTTTACGGCATTTTTTTTCAAATTCAAACAATTACATTACTCAAATTATTTTAAAATACAACACTCATCCCCTCAAACACACATTCTGACAAGCAGAAAAGCTAGTGATCTTGTACATTATTCTTCTTTAACACCAAGCATTTTGATAATTCTTTATTTGTTATATTAGAAATTGTCTCATTCCAATACCTGTTTTCTGAGAAGGCAGGTTTATCGTCATGGGCGGAATCAAAGTGAGCTTGTAATTCTTCAGGTGATGGTAGGGACTTCTTACAGATAGGGCAGAGGAACCCCTCCTAAAGGTAAGAATTAATAAGGTATGTATGATAAAACAATTACTGTATTTACACTGCAATAAGCCCAGGGGGCACATGTTACCTATGCCCCAAATATGGGGACAATGGCTTATTAAAAGTCAATGATAGAAAATTTGATGGAATTTTTACTATAACAGCAATAGAATTAGCTAGGCTTATTACCAGGCATGGGTTTTCCATTAAATAAATATAGTAATAACTAATTAAACAAACACCAATGGACGCAATTGTTGCATCCATAGAATCAACAGATTTTCTGATAGTTCACGATCAGTTTACACAGTGCTTGTCATAATTATTCTTAATAATAGACTATGTAATGATCTACCCCTTGTGATTCGTCTGTTTTAGCTGGACCATCTGCATGCTCCTTGTCAAAATGTGCCTGAAGAGCTTCTGGTGATGTCAAAGCTGTCATACATAATGGACATATAAAACCCTGAAACAAACCGAGTAGAGGTTTATCATTGCTGACATATAAAAGCCTGAAACATGCTGAATGGAGATGTCTTAATTTTTTAGATTTAAAAATCATTGTTGAAATAAAAGAGAAATGCTAAAACATATCCTGTGGATGTTAATCATTGTTGGCATATAAAACACTGAAACAGAGTGGAAGGTTATTATTGTAAAAAAAAACCTAAAACATACTGAATGGAAGTTTATTGTTGACTCATGAAACAGTTATTCATATCATTTAGTAACTATGAACCATGGTGAACATGCCAAAGCCTAAAAACGTCTGAACAGACCCTAACATACCACAGGACAAATAAAACCTTGAAACATTCTGTTTATTCCCCAGCATCTGTATCTACATAAACCTGTCAGGATCCATAATTACCTGTACTCCAGCATTTGTATCTACCTAAGTACATCACTAATTTAGTACTTGTCCCAAGCAAGAATAGCAGGGCCTTAGCAGCTTGATGCCCCTATCTTGCTCTTCTCAGCACCACGCTCCAGCATCTATAGCTATCTGTCTGTATCCGAGTAATTACCTGTGACCCACCATGCAGTGCATCAGTTACCCATCAGTATTAATAATTACCTCAGACCCAGTATTGTGCACCTGCAGTTACCTGTCTGTATCATTGATTACCTGTGAGTCACCATTGTGCACCTATACTTATCTGATTGTATCATTAATTACCTGTAACCCTGCACTGCACCTGCAGTATGTTACCTTCTATATCAATAATTACCTGTGCTCCAGCATCTGTATCTACTTGGTTGCTGTCCCCACTGCCAAATGAGAAGAATCTGCTAGGGGAGGATGTGGAAGAGGAAGATGGCTGCAAGCAGATAAGTGTGATGGTATCACATGTGCAGAAAAGGCCATGGATGTATATATGTGACAGTGTAAGGGATTTTAGATATCTGTGCTATAGACACATGGTTGAATATATAGAAACAATTCTGCAGATATCTAGACATCTTTCAGATTTGACAAGATGATGACTTTAATCACCTATTCATTTATCAAGACATTAATATGTGTTTGAAATGGTAATTAGTATCAAAATTTGATAACAACCGATCATGCCACATTAAAAAAATAAAAGAATGCATGTGCATTTATTACACAGGAAGATACCACTTATGCAAAGAAAGATAACTTTAATACAACGAATACAAAAGATTTCAAAATATAAATGTCAGTGTAATTTGACATATCAAAGAGTCACTGCATATACAGGCTTTATTTGGTAGAGTCAAGAAAATGTATATAGAACATCATTACATTTGGATGTCAAAGTATACAGTTTTCAGATAAGAGAGAATTTCAAAATAATCAGAAGCCAGATAACACATGGTACCAGATAACTGTGTTCAAGTGTAGAATGTGACAGGATGTGTCAGAAAGCATATTTCAGCATCCTTATTCTCCATAAATATGATATATATACAGTATGATCAGATGATCTCTGTTTACATAAACATTACATATTTAATATAATTCACCTTTAGACATACATGTAAAACATAAGCTCCAGAAATCTTATGCTTATTTGCAAAAACATAACATATGTTCCTTTCATGACATAACATATATCCTGGATTTTAAGCAAGCATGCATAACTCCAGAGAGCAACTGGGGTCCAGAAGGAGCATGTGGTTTATAACAACAAAAAGACATAAATTGGAAAGGCATGAGGAATTTGATCCTAGCATGTTTAGTTTGCAGAGGAATCAAGGACTTGAATAAAAGGATTTGTGCAGCAGGCACTAAAACAGTATTCTGGCTATTATCATGATAAATCTGATAAGGTTACCTTAGCAACATCATTCTCTGCAGGCGCTGTTACTGTCTACATTAAATATAAATAATTTAGGAGATTGGTGATAGTAATTATCATCATAATGTATATTGAATATATTACACATTTTCTCTTGCCTATTTACGTGTTAAAGTAAGGCTTCGTTCTGTGTTTTTTCTAAGAATTTCTTTCCAGTCTAATAATAAGAGTCCCAAATTATTAAGTGTATTTTAATCTATATGGGAAAAAAAATCAACAATGGGTATTGATTATCAAATATAAGTTAATATTGCCAATTTCACAAGTATTTCTCCCCACTGAGGATTTAAAACATAAATAGTTTGAAAACTTATAAGATAAAGCTGCTTCCGCTTTATGCAACAATGTTAAAGGATGTCTTATAACTCCTTGATTAAACAGGCAAATACACATGATATGAATACCGACTAAGCAGAAGGCTGAGACATGCAATTAAGGATGTATTCCTCTGATGTTTTGACTACAAATAAGACATAATTCAATATAAAATGAATTCCAATATAATATCTTGGACTTTTGTCTTTTTATATACATTGGCATCTATAGTTGTACTTATAGGTTGAAAACAGGCAGTTTATATGTGGCTTTGAAGAAACTTGCTCATTGACTATATTTTTTGACAATGTAGTTGGGTAATAACATAAAAAAGTTGAACATTTCCTGGTTGCTAAGGTAGTTCTCTTGAGAATAACTCCGAAAGTCTTGGGTAGATTTAAACTATTTTTTTCATGAATTATCACCACAAATCACAAACTTCAAATTTGTGAATTCAGACACTGTGACCACTTTCCCAGAGTTTTAGGAACCAAAATAAAAATTTCAGCTGGTTTCTTGATCTTGGGAAAAAAGTAGTTCAGCAACATATTGATTTTTTGCTTTTTATCTACTTTCTAAACCAAATATTTAAAAAAAAAATCATCATCAAAAAAGATAAATAAGTTGAACATTGGAATTTTTATACCTTCTCAGAGGAGTACATCCTTAAAGGTCCTTTAACTGGGTTTACAAGTATTTCCAGTATTCAAGTTTTTATTTGGACTTTAAATTCAAGATCCCTGAGTGTATACAAAGGTAGCGGAACTGGACAGGGTCATTTGTAGGTGACCAGTTAACTCAGTAGGTAGAGCATCTGTGTAGACTTTGGAAGATCCAAGGTCCGAACACTGGTCTGGCCATGCATTTTTCCACTCTTGTTACATTTAGTGCCATGACCAAACCTTGTTTGAACCAGTAGGTGAATGCTTTACAGGGGGGTATCCGAACCTGGGCTGTTAGATGTGATGTTTTTTCGGAAAAGACTAAAAATAAGGAGGGAGGAATGTAGTGATAATGGACGGGTCAATCATCGGCGACCAGTTAGCTCAGTAGGTAGAGCATCCGTCTAGATTTTAGAAGATCACGGGTACAAACCCTGGTCTGGCTGCGCATTTTTGCTCTCCTGTTACACAAATGTACATACAATACCATCTAAATCTGTACAACAGCTGGCAGAGGTTGCCACTGTTAAATTTAGTCTAACATCCCACCCCCCAGCAGAAAAAATAACAAATGGCCAAAAGTAACATACATGTACCTGGTTTTTCTATAACCTAGAACACAAATTCCCATTATATTGAATCATTCACTCCATACAACATAGAAACCAATAAGAAAAATGCAAAGTAATCATGTACTTTCGTTTCAAATGTAAGAAATATTAGCTGAATTCACATCATGTAACATGATCATATCCATTTTGACAAACTCAAGAAGAATTGTTTCAATCTTCCATGAATATACAATATTCTCATAATGGCTTATGATGATACATTGGAACTTTGCTGCTAGGTATACAGTATAAAAGTAATAACGTAATAGAAGGATAGCATGAAGTGTGTATGACCGTGATTCCATTTTCCACTAAAATTTCCAAAGCAACTCCTTTATAATTAAGTATTTTAATACATTCCGTGTTAAAAATACTTTCGGGAACAAGAGACCAATAACATATGATAAAAAGTGTCATACAAATGCCTTACAAACTAGTACCAAAATGTATGTATAAAAACAAAATAATGATTGCTCCCATTTTAGGTGACAGGTGCTTGTTACAACTTCGAATTCAAAGTACAAGAATGTAAAGCGATACCTTTTCATTTTCCTTCCTATTTCGAAGTCGTTTAAACATTTTGAAGCCTTTGAAAAAATAATTATCTTTAACCCAAGACTATAATTAACTATTTCATCGAGAAATCGGCTCGCCCCCAAAGAGTAACTGCCCTCCCGGAAGTTGTCACCGGAAGTTTAGGACATTACGACCTCTACCGATTAAGTTAGGAAACATAATTTCACGCCGGTTGAAGAACATATCCTTATAAGATGCTGGCCTCGTCTATCATTAAATATTTACCAGTTTTGAGAGTAAGTTATGATTCGGAGAACACTGGCCTATTTAATTTGACTATGTAATCATGTCAATATGTTCAGGTATAATTTGTATACAATTATTTTTGAAGATATCATCATCATGTAACGTCACTGCTTGCTGGTGTCCAAGAAATAGGACGGCAATGTTTAGAATTTGTCTGCTTTTTTCGCAAAGACAGAGTATTCCCAAAAGGACCCAAATATGTTCATCGATAAAAGCCATTTCAATGTCGAATGATATATTAGTAATTATGGATACTGTCTTAATTTGAAATGTTGATTGTGATTCAGTACGAATCGTACGGTATTCGACTTTTATGAACATATAATGTATCCTATTTATTTTACAAAAAGACATTGATGAATTATCAGATAGATTAAAAAGATGGAAAGAGGAATTTCATTCCCAAAAATGTTTTTTGCTTCTCAAAGAACAAAAAATAAAAAAACCACCGACGAATGATATGATATATTACAGGCACTGCTTAAAAGCAAGCGCAAGTTTATCATCAAGAAGCACATTTTGACCTACTGATTCATAGCTTCTCTGAAGCGTGTTTTTAACGTGCTTAAGTTTTGCATGAATTTTATCAAGACACTCACATGTAACAGGATGAATGAATGAAAAACACCTTGCCACCACTGGTTCGAGCTAGTGACCCTTCAGTCTCTAGCTGGACAAGAAGAAATTTTCACCTAGCTCAGTGTTGGATTCTTTGAACAGATACAGGTTTTCTCTGAATAAGTTTTTATATGTCAATAACTCATGCACATACAACCATTTAACATGAAGGAGAAAAAAGAAGAAAAAAACAAATACTTAAAGAGAAGCAGAAAATAATGAAAAAAGTGCACTACAAAATTTGAGAGGGATTTTGAGGAAGGGAGGTTATAAGTTAAGAATAGGAAGATAGGGGGTAATGGCTAGTAGTTGTGGTATTAGAAAAAATGTGCACTTATGCTTGAGAAACCATGTCAATGTAATGAACACTTCAGCTTTATGATAATGAATTATGCTGTATTTCATCAGTGCATACTGTAAGTAATATACATAACTATCATTTTCAATAGGATGCATTCTTCTGTTATTTCTTATTGATTTTTCCAATTTTTTCCATTTGTACTTAAATCTAGAAGCATCTCTCCATTATGACAAGTTTGAGCTTTGTAATAAACAAGGATGAAGCATTTAGATTAATGAATTAATATTAAGTAACTTGTTAAAGTTGTGAAAAAATTGTTGGGAAATATCAACTTGTCATAATGTTAGATAATGCTATAAAGAGTTACCCACCCCACTCAGCTCACAGATAATGTCTGTTCTGGCAGCGTTGGTAGTACTGCTAACAAGATAACACCAGATACCTAAATTTTGTCCTTGTGTTTTTATTTACCATTCATCTTCTGGTTCACATACAGCAATCTGAATTTTTTGCTTTTTATGCCCCCCTCCACCCCCCCACTCCTCTCCACAACCCTTAACAAAAGACAGAAAGATAGAGAAAAAAATTCACATAGGAAGAATTTTTCTGAGGTGAGCTGCAATTTTCAAAAAGAGTGCATGGGTTTTAGGTAACTGAAGATTAAAGTGGAGCTGGATATTGGCTCCAGATGAGTGAGAGAAAAAAAAATGCCCTGACCATATAATATAGGTAACAAATTGTTTCTTTTGCAGCCTGTTACTGGAGGGAATGTCTACCGATGTTTCGCTGTGTCTCAAACCAGAAACTATTCCAGCACACGTAAGATTTGTATTTACATCATAATATCTAAAGGAATAAAAATTGGTACTTTTTTTTACATTATTGTAGCATATATCACATAAAATATTTTGAAAGCTGCATATTTTTGAAAATGATTTTTTTATGAGTTGGTGTATATTTATACATGTGTACCTGATGAACAAATATTGCTACATACAATATATGTATATGTGTGATTTATACCCTTAACAGCTGACAATGACCTGGTAGTGATAGGCTCTGGACCCGGAGGATATGTAGCTGCCATTAAGGCAGCACAGCTGGGGATGAAAGTAAGTTTATATGTAATATCAGCTGATCATAGAGGATGTACTGGTTTTATTTATAACAATGACAAAGCGAAAGATAAGACTTAGCTTGAAGATGTGGTCCTTAGATACTGTAAACAAACTGCAACTAGTACAGTCACATTTTTTTTCACATTATGTTCAACATGAAAATCTTATAAAACTTGTAACAAATCAGCGACAGCTGAAGAAAGTTTGACTAACTTTGATCACAGTAAATGAGGTAATTATGGTTTAGATATTTGATAAGTTAACATAATGATAGCAAGATCTAGGAAGTTATTTGATCTACTAGGCAGATTCTTACAGTCCATGTGAAGTATGAGGAAGAATTGGGCTAACACGAGGTAATGTATCTATATGTATTATAAAAATTGTAATTGCTATCTACTTTAGAAAAATAAGATAGCTGTAGCAATGGTTTCTTTGTTACAGACAGTATGTGTGGAGAAAAATGACACCCTGGGTGGTACCTGTCTCAATGTTGGATGTATTCCATCGAAGGCTTTACTCAATAATTCGCATTTCTACCATATGGCAAAGTCGAACGATCTCAACAACAGAGGGATAGTCTGTAAGTCTGAGATTTTTTGTTTATTTGAGCTTGATGGAGGACAGAACTTAAATCAGGATACAAATAAAAAGAAAGAAATTGATGAGAATTGATTTATAAAAGAAAGGAGCTAATATTAAGAAAAATTTCATAGCCACATAGTTTATTTATGAAGCTTCACAACATACAGCAGTAATGTAAAATATTGACAGGGACACTGCAACTTTGAAATAGAAATCAACAGAATGACAGTAATGCCATTATAAGCTTATGATTACTGTTTGTTTCAGGCGACAATGTGACATTAGATTTAGATAAAATGATGGAACAGAAGGACAAGGCAGTGTCAGCTCTCACAGGAGGAATTGCTCATCTCTTCAAACAAAATAAAGTAAATACAATTTCTTTTCAAATAATTTACAATTGGGCAAAACATTTTGTGATGTAGTTAATACCACATTGATCCTGGGTTAAAGTCTTTGAGACAGCATACAATTTCCAACTCAAAGTCTCAGATTGGGCATGATGTATTACAAGAAAATGAAAAAAAAACAACATTTTGTCATTCTACTGGACAGCGATATACATGGGTGCCTTCAGCTAGGATGGGTTTATTTTCAGGTATTGGTTAATTGCCAAATAAATACAGGTAATTTTTATCATTAATTGAAACAACATTGGAACTATTGTGTTGGTGTGTAATTTTATGGTTTATTTCATTTGTCAACAAAATTTAAGAAATTTCAATTTCCTTGTCATTAATTATAAAAAATCATTACTGGTAGTATAGCTTGTAAATTGACTAGTGAGCATATGTATATTATATATTGTTTACTGATGTACAAATTGGGGTAAATAAATTTCATTTTGCGATAAATGCTTCTATCATATCAATTGCATATTCCTGACAGAAATTTTTGAACATGTTAGGTAACACATGCCAAAGGATTTGGTAAGATATCAGGTCCCAATGAGGTCACAGTGGTCAAGGACGATGGTACAGAGGAAAAAATCTCAACAAAGAATATATTGATAGCTACAGGTTCTGAAGTGACACCCTTTCCTGGTATAGAGGTATGTTATATAGAGGACAAAATGGCACTGACCACTCAAAGCAAAATGCTTGGATTTTTTCATGAATACAAACTTTATTAAATTATATTGATACGTTGTTATGCTAGCATTTTTCCTTAGAACTTATTTCATTCTCTTGTATAATTAACAAAATTGATGTAAACTATAATTGATTTCAACACTTAGAGAATTCATGTATTTTAATTTGTTTCAGAAAGTGTTGTTTCATCAATTGATATATCCATCTTTTGTAATCTGTCTCTACTGATTGATGAAAAAAGTGTTGTTTCACCTCCCGGAGTATGGATCTTTTGTAATGTGTCTCTTCAAATTGATGAAGAAAATGTTTCATCAATTGGAGAATTTATATTTTGTAATTTGTCCCCTCAGATTGATGAAGAAAGTGTTGTTTCATTTATTAGAGTATTTATATTTTGTAATTTGTCCCCTCAGATTGATGAAGAAAGTGTTGTTTCATCCACTGGAGCTTTATCCCTGAAGAAAGTGCCAGAAAAAATGGTGGTGATTGGAGCTGGAGTTATTGGTGTAGAACTGGTCAGTAATAAATGTGTTTATCTAAAACCTGGCTAAACACAGTGAATTAATTAGAGGATATATGTATTTTGTTGTGAAAAAAATGAGGGTTTGGTGCCCCCTTTTTCCAGATGAAGAAGTTGTTTTGACATTTAGTACTCAAATTTATAAGTTAAGATGTTTTTGGTAGGTACTAGTAACAGCTAGAATTGTTTTGCAAATTGAAAATCAAAATTGTCCTTTGAAAGTGATAACATTAAAAGTTTAAGTTGAGTTTTAAGTTATTTTGTGTCTGCAGTTTGATGTTGTGTTATTTCTTTAATTTCAGGGTTCTGTGTGGCAGAGATTGGGAGCACAGGTGACATGTGTTGAATTTCTAGGCCATGTAGGAGGAATGGGAATAGATATGGAAATATCAAAGAACTTTCAGCGTATTCTTCAAAAACAAGGTTTAAAATTCAAACTGGGCACAAAAGTGACAACAGCAACCAAAGAAGGAGACAATATTAAAGTGGCTATAGAAAATGTGAAATCAGGAAAAGCAGAAGAGGTGAGAGGTGATGTAACTTGTAGAAGCATATAAAGCAACAGACTAAATTTAGTTCACATTGCTTCTAAAATTTCAATCTTTACAAAATTACTGTGAGTTGTGAAAAATGGTTTGGCTATAAGGTTACTTGTAGATAAGATTAACTTCTGGACAAAGTACAGGTATGATTAGATAAATTTACTGTTATAAGATGCATTAGACATTATCATAACCTACTATACTGATAAAGCTTAAAACATAGTTACCTTGTTTTGATATCCAAAAAAAATTTGGAGTATAACTTCTATCTTACAGATAGACTGTGATACATTGCTTGTGTGTATTGGACGTCGTCCTTACACAAATAACCTTGGACTGGACACTGTTGGACTCCAGCTGGACAACCGTGGCAGATTACAGGTCAACTCTCGCTTCCAAACAGATGTTCCAAGGTATCATTTAAGTAGCCCCAATATATGTTTTACTGGTTTTTAGTGTGTTCCACCATGTGTATATATTCATGGTTTTACAATATTAAAAACAAATCAAGTAAAAAGTATCAAAGCAAAAGTATTCTCGCTGATTGGAGTTATCCCCTTTTATTCAGATTGAAATTTGTTATTTTGCACAATAAAGAAATAATATAAAAAAATTGTCCATATGACATTTTCTACCTTGATGAATGCAAATGAGTCACAACTCTAAATCATTATTTTGAAAGTTATGTGAATATTCAATGGATACAAATAGCTAAATCATCTTTATATGATACTGCGGTTTTTAATGATTTGTTTGACATCTAGATAATTTCTATCCTTTCTCCAGTATGACAATGTTACTTTATTTTTTAGTATATTTGCCATTGGAGATTGTATTCATGGTCCAATGTTAGCTCACAAGGCTGAAGATGAAGGTATGTGTTGAATTATATATACCTATTTGTCAAACTTGTTTTCCAAATTTTTCTTGCTTAAAAATTGTGTGCAGAAATCAGAATATTAAAAACAATGTTTTATTTATACATATATAAAGACATAAGCCAAAGGAAAAAAAATTACTGTGTGAAAAAAGTTGTGGAAATATTTACATAGTTTAACTGCTTCCATGTGGCAAAGCTTGACTGGTTATAAAAAAGTAATTTTTCACTGTTGTTGTTTTATGGGAAATATACATATTAATTGCAAAGTTAACAATTTAAGCTTGAAACATATTTGTTTGCTTCAGGTATCATCTGTGTGGAGGGTATGAATGGCGGAGCAGTTCACATTGATTACAACTGTGTTCCCTCTGTTATCTACACACATCCTGAGGTCGCTTGGGTTGGCAAGAATGAGGAGCAGTTGAAGGAGGAGGTGAGACAAACTTATAAATACTGCTACATCAGAGATGATGTCACTGTATGGTAACCTACTGAAGAAAAGATACTTGTTAATCCAAAGTTAGAAACCTTCTGTCTGCACTGTCAGGGACATTATTTTTGTGGTGGAAAATGTTGTCATCTGAGTCAGAATAAATTATCATCAGGCATGATCATTTTATTTACAAGCTGCAGTTTCAGGTTGGCATGTTTCATTATGCTGTAAAATGCTTTATTTGCCTGTTGAAGACGGCTTGTATTATGTTATCATGTCAGCAGGTGGGTGGGAACACATGGTGTCCTCTCAATAACTCAAGTAGTTTTCAACAAATCTATTTCAAACTTCAAATTAGGGAGGTTCATTACCATGATCACTTTGACAAGCATGATCACCATAATTTTCCAACCATATTCCACAGAGTTATGGCCCCTTATTCAATCTTCAGTAGTTCCTTATGGAAATACTTGAAACTTTATAGGGATGTTCACAGCAGCTTAAACAAAATGTATATGCAAAATTATTTGCCTGTGTTTAATTGAGAAATGGCCATTGTGATGTCGATGGAACAATGACTTGAGTCTTATTCACGGATCTTCTCGAAGTGTTATCACCATTGATGCTCTGTAGTTTACTTTCGTTTCCTTCACCATCACACAAGTGGCACTGTCAGTACATGAACTACTTGTGTTGATAAAACATTAAACATTACATTCCTTCCCTGTTTTGTTGCAAAATGCTCATTCAACCTATGACGGTCATATCATGTACTGCCTCAAGAAACTCTTGTTAGGCAATGTGTTCAAATACCATTCCTCACAACTGAATTGATCCGATAGGAAATTAAAAGTTGATTATTTATATAATGTAGTCCTTCAGAGAGGAGCATATGTAATCATCTATTGAACATGTATGATCTATGTTAGGGATTATAACATTTACTCTATTGACTTTATCACTTGTTGATCAAAGTTGATATTTTAATTTTGTTGGGGGAAAGAGAATGGTAGCATACCTGTAGTCCTGCTGCAGCAGGATTGTATGTCTGTCAGTAGATATATTTACAGAATGTAAGCATTTACACTGTCAATGAGATTGTAAATGTATTTTTAACAGAATATTTGATTCTCAGAGCATGAAAGCCTCCCACAATTCTCTCGTACTGATATATCCCTTAAATTGGTATACACTTTCAGTAAGAAATTTTTTAGTGAGTCAATGATTGAATCATTTACAATCTGCCTGCTGAAGGATTTGATTGTTTTGTTGATAGGGAGTAAGTTACAAAGTTGGTAAGTTCCCTCTAGCAGCTAACAGTCGAGCAAAGACAAATGCTGATGCTGATGGTCTAGTGAAGGTTCTCGCTGACAAAGACACAGACAGACTGCTGGGTGTTCACTTCATAGGATCTGTAAGTGTTTAAATTTCTTGTCATTTTTTATATGATGTCACTGATAGCATAAGAGCTACTGTGCAAAGACAGCTGGAGATTAAAAAACCTGAAAAGTTAAAATTGTAGATAGAAAAGATACAAAAAGGCCATGTCCATTAAAAAAATGGCTTCAATATTTGTCATCAACTTGGCTCTATTTTATTAAACTTGACCACAGCTGAAGCCAAAATCTACAAATGTATACTTTTTTTTGTAATATAACCTATAATCTCTGACTCGTTTATATATCTCAGTGCCATTCTATTATATAAATCTTCATTTTCCATAGACTTCTATATTTAACAGCTGGTTATGTAAAGGCAACATTTAGAAAAATTTAATTCTTACAATTGATGCAATATAGGATTTGACTATACACTATTCCAAAAAAAGATATTAGTTACCCACTCTAAGATTCCAGATTTTGTTCTGTGAAGCTATCCATAGAATTTCATTGATAATTTGCTTAGAAGTAATAGGCAGGAAATTGAACCATGGATAGAAATAATTAGGTTTTGTGTCCTTGGGTCAAGTAGATGTTTTAGTGGAATTGCCCTATTAGAATACCAACCTACTGTCAAATCGATTCTATTTTCCATGGGTGGAAGAGCTCACTGGTAGTATCACTGTGTATCATGTATTATGTATGGTGTTGTAGGTTGCTGGAGAATTAATTAATGAAGCTGTATTAGCTATGGAGTACGGAGCTTCATGTGAAGACATTGCACGTGTCTGCCACGCCCATCCGGTAAGTAGTTTAAGACTTCCTGATTGCTCATTGTTTACCACCTGATATTACACATTATTCAGACATCACATTTTCTAATCTAGTACCCTTTTCATGTTATTTTTCTTGTTTTGGTAGTATATGTTTTGGATAGCTCTTACAATATATACTTATACAGTAAAATGTCATCAACAGAACTCTGATTAGAACTTTAAGTGTCAGCCTAACCAGCAGTTATAGTATACCTGTGCTTCTGTAGGTAAATAGAAGATCTAGATTAAGTCCAATTAATAACAAAATATTTGAGAATCTATGAAATCCAGTTTCAGTAAAGTCTTGTTTAACTTTCATCCATCTTAATGGTTTTTTTTATGGATCTTTCCATATTTTACAGACGGTAGCTGAAGCCTTAAGGGAAGCCAACTTAGCAGCATATGCAGGAAAGGCCATCAACTTCTAATTAGAAAGAACATTTAAGTAAATTGATGATCCAAGAAACACTGCAGCCTGTGAAGAAATTGACATTTATATGGAATTAGATTTGGATCTAGTGTAACAACTCATAAAATGCAAGCATTTGGGATGGTTGTAGAATACAGCCGTTCGAACCATTCAATAGTGTTGGCTGACAAGCAGTCCTAACATTATCTCCCTGCATTGTAATTCATTCAATGAAGCATACAAGTTATACAACTCTTCTTAGCATGTTCAGTATCTGTACTGGAAAATTAATTTCTCCAGTCCTGACTGGTATGGAACCCATGTTTTGATAAAGAAATACTAATAGCAGCTTCTAGGTAAGCTTCACAAATGCATGTTCAGGTGCATTGTAGTAAAGGGGTTGGGGTGGTTTAACACTTTTTTTGAAGATCTGAATTTGATCAGGGATTAGTGCTTTATGAAGAAAGAAGTGTGAGTGATCTATCCTTAAGTTATATTTACTCGGTACAATTTTGTCCGAACTGTACAGTTTTATGTTTCATATGTGTAATATGTAAAAAAAAAAAAAAGACAAAAATTAAATAATAATTTTAACTAACATTTGTTGTTTCTAAAGAACTGATTTTAAATGAGGTTAATCTTGTGTGTAGCATATACTTTTTTTATCTCTGTACTATCTCATTAGCATTTATAATGAAGAGAGGATGATTACTCTCAAGGACACAGATCAGCCCCCCTGGAGGGCAAACCCCTCAGCCCTGAGGAGGGTCCTCAATCTCAAAGATTTAGCCTTTCAACCTCAAGGTGGATGATCTCATTCTTCATAGATTCTGATTGTTACCACTAGTTGATCATTACCACAGACTACAGTATTGTTAAAATTTGACTTCATCAGAAGTTGAACATTTTATTGTTTATACTTGATGAAGAACGACAGATGAAAGGCGATCACATCGTGTCTGACAATTGTAAAGAAAAAACGACAATTAAAACTAAACATATATTAATTCATTTTCATTTATTATAAAAATAATCATGGTATTAAATAACAATAGATCACTTTTTTTGCATTTGTAGTCAAATTTAAATTAAGTTAAAACCACAGCAATGAAGTAAACATGTATTAAGCACAAACTTTTCACTAAATAACATTTATAAAGCAACTGTCTTTAATATTATACATATTTTACTCCAATAGAATTATCTTTATACATAGACTTAAGTATATATAGCAGTTACTAGCTAAAGAAGAGTAAACACTAATTTGGATAATTAAGAATTAATCAAAGGTCAATTTAATAAATTATTCAGACATATGATATTTTTGAAGTACATTTTTATCAAAGTTTTATCAAGTAACAATAAGCATATGGTCCTTTTTTATATAACATTTGATTTACATGGATAAAATTAATGATTCAATTAAAAAAACCATAAGCCCAACACAAGAATATAAATATACCCCAAAATCAATATGAAAAACCAGAAATAATGAGCTAAGATGATCTGACTTTTTTTCTATTTTTTTTTATTCAACAACTTATGTTTCTGTCAACGATTTTCTTAATGAATGCTGTTAATAAATCAAATTTCTTTAAATGCATTTTAATACCATTCAGATGAGACAAGGCACAATCATAAACAAGAGATCCCAGAGGGATCTTGGAGCCCACCATTTGAAGATCTGTTTTCAGTTCTTGAAGATTTGTTTATTTTTTTTTGTTTGTTACAGGTGTTGTAAATGTTCATGAACTGGTCTTCATTGAATGTACTCAATGATGGCACAAGATATTTTTATTAAACACCTATTAGCAAATATCATTTGAAAAAGATCCCAAAGTATTATTAGATAGCAGTCAGTTACAGGTGATAATGGACAATATGCTTGTGCTGTATTACTGTCGACATCCAAGATGGCTGCCTGTAGGCAACCTTGATTTCAAATCAGTCCAAAAAAGGTACAATGCACAACTAGGGACCAAGGGAACCCAATATCTATGAAATATCAGAAGGATCCATCCAGGACTTCCTCAGATATAGCAGTAACAAGATTTTACTCTCAAAATCCAAGATGGCTGCCTGTCAGCCATCTTGATTATGGATCAGTCCAAAAAGGTATAATGTACAACTTGGAACCAAAGGGAACCTGCATATGAAATTTGAGAAAGATCCATCCAGTACTTTCCAAGAAATAGCAGTAACAAACTTTTACTCTCAAAATCCAAGATGGCCACCTGTCTGCAATCTTGAATTCGAATCAGTCCAAAAAAGGTACAATGCACAACTAGGGACCAAGGGGAAACTGCATATGAAATTTGAGAAAGATCCATCCAGTACTTTCCAAGAAATAGCAGTAACAAACTTTTACTTCCAAAATCCAAGATGGCTGCCTGTCGGCCATCTTGAATATCGAATCAGTCCAAAAAAGATACAATGCACAACTAGGGACAAAGGGGAACCTGCATATGAAATTTGAGAAAGATCCATCCAGTACTTTTCCAGAAATAGCGGTAACAAACTTTTACTTCCAAAATACAAGATGGCCACCTGTCGGCCATCTTGAATGCGAATCAGTTCAAAAAAGGTACAATGCACAACTAGGGACCAAGGGGAACCTGCATATGAAATATGAGAAAGATCCATCCAGTACTTTTCCAGAAATTGCGGTAACAAAAATTGTTTACGGACTGACGGATGACGGACGGACGGACGCCTAGACGGACCACGGACGCAGGGCGATTTGAATAACCCACCATCTAATAGATGGTGGGTTAAAAATGTGATAAATATACTTTTTTCAGTTAACTATAGTATATTAAATCTAGTAAATATGGTCACATCTCATTACACCAATAACGACTTTTCCATTAAAACATTAAATTACTACATCTAAGACAAAAAAAAAATATGAATCAATTCCACCATGGTAAGGTTTTATGCCTGTTACTTCTAGGCAAATTATCAATAAATCCTATGGTTTGTACCCCTAAACAAAATGTGGAGTCCTGGGATGGATCATGGATGTTTTACTAGAATAGCCGTAACATACATATTCATTCTAATCAATAGATTCCTATACCTAGCTTTGATTGTCTGAAGTTTTATAAACACAATACAACAAAAATGCATGTATTTACAACAATCCATAAATACAATGTATCAAGGAATCAACTACTTTCAGATCAAATGAACCCAATGTCATTGGTCTTCTATAAAAATAGCTATACAATAACACTTGATTTTGGTTCCAAATAATATTGACATGTATTTGATAAAAATAAAAATATTGTTCTTATAAAGAAAAAATATGCATCAAATATAAACAAATTATTACAGATCTGTTTTTTTTCTATTCTAGCAAATTGTTGAAAAACAACATTGCAAATCTAAGAAAAGGATGATTAATTTGATCAATGGTCCTTAAGATGTTGTGCTGTACATCACATTACATTACATGGAAGAATATCTCCTTTATATCACTGATTTAGGGAATACAATGCAATGATACAATGCCTCAAACATGTACACACAACCATGAATAGTATACCACATGGACACAATTTATTTGACAGTTAAAAGAGTTTCAGCACTAAAATTTTTTATATCACCAAAGCAACTGTATCAGTATAAAATCCTTATAATTAAATAGCTGTAAACAGTTTTGGCTTGTTACAGATGTCATCTTACCTGCTGATAAAAAAATAAGTTCCTTTTCATTCAGTTTAATTCAGTCGTTTTTTACAGGAAGTGATCTGTATGTACTAAAAAGACCAATCTCCACCTGGCTTTTACTGAAAATCAATTACTGGATTTAAAAACAAAGCAAAAACATAAGCTACTTTGTATAGTATCACTGTTATTATTACACACAGACCAATTAACTTCCCGAGATGCTTCAGATACAATTAGTTTTGCATAGTAAAAAGTGAGTTTTAGAGACTGTCCTTTGGTACATGTATCAACAAAAAACACCAATGTAATTCAGAACAAAACATAACACAAGTTACCATATCCACATCAGTATCGATGATTCAACTAAAAATAATATAAATTTTGATTACGGTAAGTCTGTTTAAAATGAAACTCTGATTTAATTGGCAAGATAACATATACCAGTATGGCGACCAGGCAGAGAACAGCTAGTTAAGGTAAGCTTAAGTACACAACTCCATTTTTTTTAAAACAGCACATGAAATACATATTTGTGTTTATAAATATATATATATGTCCTTTTGAATAGACTTTGTATACATCATTTTAAACACTCAAACAGTCAAATACCTTTGAATAAATCCAAATCAAATTTTATAAGCAACATAATAAACTAGTGGTGTTCCTCATGATGTTTGTGAAAACTTTAAATAATGCTCTTATACAAAATTGGGAACCTTCAGCGACTTTTTTGTAAGATACGATACATTTTCATGTTTACAGAAAGTGATGAAGGATTCCGACCCTTAAAAAAGAAATCAGATGAACAGGAAGTCAGATGTTCTTTGATCTTGATTCGTTAAATATCATTTTCAAGGTTTTGGCAACATTTATTTCAAAACATTAATGTATGTTTCTAATGTTTAGGTGAATTACTATGTTTTTATTTCCATATGAAAACATGAGATGATATTTGGTAGGTAAAGATATTTTTAACCAATAAACAGGTTGGAGTTCTTAAACACCTTAGACAATGAAATTTTTAGCAACCCAACTGTTCAATGCTGTTTACACGCTCAATACTATAGCGCACTCATTAATACATGTGTATATTCACTGATAAAACATCACTTACAATGATATTACAATGATAAACAAATATATTAGGTATACAATTGAGAAGAAACAAACTTGTACCAACATGATACAGTAGACAACACTTCCATATTAAATCTGTATAGAGACTAGTGTCTCTGCTAAAGCAGCAAATATGACAATAAATAATATGATTACAATTCCTTTTATACCAATACATATTTGGTGACATGCCTTTTTATCCACCTGTTCATAATACTGTACTCTCTGTCTATACAAACTCCCTATAACAACCATTATATAACAACCAATTAAGACCAATTTTGATTCCTCCCGAAGACAGATTTTGACAGGTTTAACTAAGAATGTTTATGAATCACAGTCACAGTAATATATTTTGGGTCAATATCTATACCAAGAATGAACTAGTGTAAAACATGACTTAGATGAAAATGACTACTATGATAATGATATATGCTCTTATGCATATTAGGAATTCCCTTCTGGTTCAGACAAAACATTCACTTTCACTGGGCTCTGCACGCTTCTGTTGCCATAACTGACTAGAATTTGGAGAAATGTTTCTGCAGCTAGCAAATAAATGATCCATATTGTCATTCTGCTGTTTAAATGTGGACTCTGAATCGACATGGTGCTGAAAGATCATTTCTGCCTGCATATGTCCTTCATAACTTGTCCCCATTTCCCGTTTATTACTGTAGAGCACTTCCAGCTGACCTTCACCTTTGTCAGAATTATTCTGAGAATTGGTTTCCTGTGTTGGTGTAGCATCCTCTGTTTTGTAAATATTGTTATTTTCTACAGATAAGTCAGGTTCTTCCGTTGACTGGCTGAATTCTTGAACACTTGTCACATGGTCTTCACTGACAACACCTTCATAGTATGCAACCTTCTGTTGATGTTGTTGTAACAATGTTGCAGCTTCCTTGTCCTGTTGACTAAAAGGAACACTATTCTCTGTCAATGTAGGTTCATTACTGAGACTCTCCATGTTTTCTGTTGCATCAAGTTCATACCCTTGGTATTGTTGGTCACCTTCAGCTACCATGGTAACATCATCCTCGCAGTACTCGTCATATAAATAGTCCTCTGATCCAACACTTTCTGTGACAGCTTTTAAGTAGGAGCCAAAGAAAATGTCACGTTTTGATTTAAGGATTTCATTTTCCTCTGGATCCAGTGGTCTCAAAAGAATCTCTGCCTGATGTTTCTTAGCTTCACTGTCTTCACAGCTGATATCTTGTTGGAGATGAAGATCATTGATCCCCTCTTCCAGGGATTTGGTTGACTCGCTTTCTTGTCCCTGAACAAGGAAGCCATTATACTGACTCTCCAGCTCTTCCAAGCCTAAGTATACCTGTAAAATGAAAGCCATTTCTGTTATCTTTGTCTTTTTTGTTTATAAATTAAATGTATTCAAAATTTTATTCTAGAATACCCTAATTCAACTCTTATTATTGCTCACAAGAAACATTTAAACAAATTCACTTTATGATTACAGACTGTTTGCTTGCTGTCAATTTTGTTACATTTAATATTTTATAATTCTTTCATTAGGTATTATACTGATCAACAACTTTTTGTCACTGCCGAAGTCTTCAACAATATTCCATAAAACTATTCAGTGATTAGCTCAGTGGGCCAGCACATTACCTCGTACTCATAGTCAAAAGGTGGGTTTATTACAGGACAACAAAGTAACAGTTATCATGAACAAAACAGCAAATAAATGTGGGTGGGCTTCTCTCCAGACATAGACTTATTGGTGGTAGCTTGTTCTTTACCTTGACCATATCTGGGCGATCCTTTTTCTTCTTCTGTGTACATTGGAGAGCAATGTGAAAGAGTTTGTCATAGATGGCACTTGGACACATGCCTGGTTTATTGTCACGGAGATCTTCATATCGTGTCTGACTTTCTTCCAGGTACTCATTCACATAGCGCTCCTGTTAGAAGAAATTTAAAAAAATCTATGCTTCATCAATTTTTAGATACAATTGTGACAGTAAATACCCTTTTACCATTAAAATGCATTTGTTGTATAATTACCAAAATGAACATTTTTCAATATTCTTATTTTGACGGCAGGAAAATGAATGATCACACATCAAGTGAAATGCAAGGACTTCTATTACCATTTCTATAAATTCTTGTTTTATTTTCTTGAAGACATTTCCAACACCAAAGGCAGAGGTGAAGGAAAGTTTGTGTTTACAAATGATATGTTTTACTGGTCTTTAAAGAGTTATCATGTCCTACCAGGTATTTGGCATCCCCTCCTTCACGCTTCTCGTCGTAAGCTTGTTCCCCTGTACATACTTCCATCATCACCTGGTAAATATCAAAAGGTTATGAAAAATTTATCATACAAAAGGTTTAATGTTTAAATCTACAGCACAGCCATAATCTGTCTTTCCTGTGACAGAATAACTGATCTTGTAGAAACATCAACTTAGATCATAGAGATGGCTTATTCCAAGGTTAAATTGAATTCACAGTGATGAGATACCTCAGTAAGAAAAATTAAGAAATATACAATTTTCAAGTACACATTAAAGAAAAACCAGACAATTTTGACCATTGACAGATCAGCAAGATAAGGGGGTAAGATGCACAGTTTAAACATAAATAAGTTCTTTTCACCAAAGGATGCTTCAGATCAAATCTGGACAAAATTAAATCATTCGAAGAAAAGAAGAATTTTAAAGAATTTGCTCTATTTCCACCATTGATCCCACTCCTCCTATCCCAGAGGGGCCGAGACCCACCCCTTGTACAAAACTGTTTCCCATTCACATAAGGATGCTTCAGGCTAAATTGAGGCAAAATCCAAAATCCTAAATGAGGAGCAGCTCATCTTTTGAACCAGATTAGGTAAAACCTATTTCAGACAACATACCACTCCGAATGAAAATGTATCTCCTTTGATAGACATTTGTGACCCCCTCTGGGCCTCGGGTGGTAGATAGGCCTTGGAGGTGTACTCCTTAGTTCCCATTTGTTGTTTGGTGATATGAGTGAGTGCCCCAGTGGTGGACCCCTTCTGAGCATGCTTGGCCATCCCCAAGTCAGAAATCTTTGCCTCCAAATGCTTGTCCAAAAGTATATTGGCACTGAAATAACATTCAAATTAGGAATAATTTTATTTTCAAAAACCAAGAGTATTCTTCTCTTGTTAAAGAATCACATCTTAACCTTAGTAATTCACAGAGTTAAAATTTTTACTTTTATCTGTCAACAATTTTGTTTTGTTCAGAGAAGGCAGCTTAGCTCATTAAACATGTTTTTCAGTTGGTACCTTTTTATATCACCGTGGATGAGTGGTGCCGTGCCCAGGGTGTGTAAGTACTGAAGGCCACAGGAAGCTCCTCGTACAATGATTAATCTTTCCTGCCATGTTAACGGCCGTGTGCCACACTGAAAACAACAATCACAGATTATCTACAATGAGATTTGAGTTTCACTTTAAAAGCTTCAAGCTTGAGTGGTAAGATAACCTGTGATGTCTTTTTTCAAGCAGAAAAATACAATGCTGATAAAAATCTGTTTCATCACAAACTATTTTTTTCCAACATCTTTACTTTTTAATTTAATTCAGTAATATATAGGTACACACATAAAGAATGACAGAATGTATGTATTCTATGATAAGCAAAGGGGGCTCTTAATTAAGCTTTGACTCAATATTAGGGTCAGGCTTATTGCAAGACAAACAAATAACATCTGTTAGCAATTTTAAAGGTTACTATGTATGGGCTTATTGTTAATAATGGCCTTATTACCAGGTGTTGGTTTATAGTAAAATATTTTCAATTTTAAACTTTTGTGAATAATGACATTTCTAAGCATGTTTACCTTGCAGCTAAGTCTGTCCTCCAGTGACCCATGAGGCATGTACTGGTAGACCAGGCAGACATCGGAACCCTCTAATGTGTAACCATACAGTGCTACAATGTTTTCATGCCGATATCTACAAAGAAGCACATCATAAAATAAACTACAACTTTAAAAAAAATACTGATTTGCTATCAAACACTTCTTGATTCAGATAAAAATTCAAATATATGAGAATACATGAATATATCAATCAGGTATTTTTCGGACAAAAATGATAAGAAGATTTTTCAGGCAGCTAAATCCTAAATGAGAAAGATATAGATCTAATTACATGTAGCTATCACAGTCCACACAAGTGATTACATACCGAATCAGTGCCTTCAGCTCAGTTTTCAAGTGGCTCTGGGATTCCTGGTCCTCTTCTGATCCCTGTAAACAGACAGGCAGATTCTTGTATCAGGGTTTCAGTGTTAGTCAGTGTTAGTATATCATACATGATAAAACAAATCAAAAAAAAACACAGACAATTTTAAGATCCAGGATGTGACATGTCACAAAGTTTGAGTCAGTTTGGGATACAGGTGTTGTGTTTGTTTACATAACGAAGATAACTTAAGTTTGCATTTTACCTGTTTGTTCAGATATGATTACATACAAGAAGTACCTGAGCTTATACATATATGGTACCAAGGGATTTCTATAATGACAGATCCCACGTCAGTTTATATGGTACCACGAGATTTCTATAATGACAGATCCCATGTCAGTTACATAGATAGTACCAAGGGATTTCTATAATGACAGATCCCATGTCAATTACATATACGATACCACAAGATTTCTATAATGACAGATCCCATGTCAGTTATGAGACAAATATAAATTGATATCATTCACACAACTGCGCAGAGAAACATTATTTGATACAAGCACATTACTGATAAAGGTTTTAAATAAAAGTTGACTGAAATGTTTGTAAATTATTATCAATTATTTAAATCCTCCCTTACAAACTGAAGTTTAATATAACATATGGCCATATAAAGAGGATATTTAATTGTGTCTTCAGCAATAACAAACATATTTCTGCAGTGTGTCAAAAATTTTAGTATCTTTCCTGAGTGTGTAGCATGAGTGAAAGATGCAAAAAATATCAGACACATGTGCATTCTATTTACCAATATTACATTTTCACAAGCAAAATAGCCAAATACTGGCATATTTAGGACAGAAAGAAAAGGATGAACCTATGATTGTCGCAGAAACTGCTCACTCATATAACTTTGCGGTACACAACAAAAAATAATCTGTTTTTACAGAACAATCAGTAAAAAGATATAAACATAAAAAAAATTTTGATGTAAATTCATTTCTATATTAACAAAGAAAATGGGAATTATTCAAGTCACTAACAGACAAGATTTGCAGTACAATGCTCAGAGAGACACAATAACAGCCTGTGACAAGTCAATATGAGGCTGTAAATATGACACCAATCCTTTAGAAAGGTCGAGCTCTGTTGATTGGGTTAGTTCTTGACATTAGAATACTTACAGAGAAGAGTCGTTTGATGGCACATTGTGAATTTTTGAGCCGGCCCTTGTAGACCTCACCAAAACTGCCTTGACCAAGCTTGCACTGGTCGTTAAATCCATTAGTAGCCTGATTTATTTCCTTATACGTGAAGCTTGGAGTGTTGATGATAGCCATGGCAGTGTCAGCATCACAGCTGCCATTCTGGTTCAGGGTAGACAAGCCCTCATGACTCTTGACTCGATCCATTAAGTCAAGGCTTATGGAAGGCTCTCCCATATTGCCTTTGCTATTCTCACCAGGCCCGTCTGTCTCAACCTCATTAACATGTACAGAGCACATAGATTTGTCTCCGTTGCCACTTCCTGACAAGAATCCTATTGAAACTTTCTGGGAAAGAAAGAAAAAGTAAAAAATTGAATTACATCAATATATCTTAATTCTGACCAATCAGAACACACATCAGCTTTGGATGTCAAACGTTTTTCAAATTCATGAAATTTAAATAGGTAAGACGAAGTGTGGGCTTATTACAAGACATAAAGTAGCATTTGGGGCCTTATTGTCAGAAGTATATTTTTAACTTGGATCTGTTGGAACATAGGGCATGTTATAATGAACTTATACACATACACACATAAACTGTAAATGTACTTATTACTGGTGCACCCACTGGGAACCTAAAATTAGTCTTTTGTAAGTGGAATTTGCGATATATTTTTTATACTATTTCTTTTCACACAAGCAAGTATTTTGTAATTAAATGTATTGTGTGGAGCTTACCTTGCCCTTGTCCTGTCCAGATATAGCCTTATCCTGCCCAGATATGACTTTGTCTTGTCCGGATATGGCCTTGTCTTGCCCTGGTATGACCTTATCATCATAATTTTTCTCTATAGATGGGATGTGTTTGTCCTCCATCATCTTATTGGACATGAACTTTGACCCCTGTATTGATTTATCAGGCATGTTGAAGTTCACATTATGGTCTTTGTTGTGGGAGGGGTTCCCAGGAGGCACTGCTCCCGGTGGACTTGGTTTTGGCAATTCTGTAGATAAGGATACCAAGTAGACAATGAATTCATAAAAAAAATTATCAGACCAATCAAAACAGTGATATAAAGATTTCACAGTAAGTCACACCCCATTTTGGTATCCATATTGTGTCAATACCAGTATATTTTTACAAAAAGACTGACAAGTTTAAGGAAAGTTACTGGATAGCTTTACTTTTTTGATAGGTACAATATATCACATTTATTTCAAGTAACATATTAGCATCACAGAATGAAGATGAAAACAACCTTTTATGCACTATTGCTTTGACTGGTGTCAAAATGTCTGCTCAATGCAGTCTTTTTATTGAGATATTTCTTCCATCCACTCAAGCTGAGGACGGGTGGTCGGGTGGCGCAGTGTTAACGCACTCGCTTTTCACCTAGCCGACCGGGGTTCGATTCCCGGAACGGACGTGAAAAGGTAAGGGGTCACCTGCCCAACCACGTGGGTTTTCCCCGGGTACTCTGGTTTCCTCCCACAATAAGACCCCTCGCGCGCTTACATCCGGGCCAACAAGAGTGATTAGTATAAGCTCGAATAACTTGTTTCGCAATTGTTGTAAAATAGATAAAGTTTATATTTAAGCTGAGGACAATTCTAGGTCTTTAGAAGAATGGAATTTACAGCAATATTGAACAATAACTTTATGCCTTAAGTGAGCCAGACAAAGTGTTTTTGGTGAAAGAGAATCCTTTACTTACTGGTGGAGTAAAGGTTCTCCAGCATTTCCCTGGGAGTTGGGGCTGATCCTCCCACAGCCCCATGGGATCCTCCCACAGCCCTATGGGTTCCTCCCACAGCTCCATGGCTACAGGAATTGTCCCATTGGTATGCATGTGAATCATGTACCTTCTCACTGCTACTGGAAACTACAACAGATAAAATGGAAACTGCATGTAATTTTTGTCAACAAAACATCTCTGAATGTTCTTCAACATCTTCAGATGAACAAATCAGATCTTTAAATTAAACCAACAACAGAAACAAAATCTCATACTGGAACAAAAGACCTCACAAAAATTATTTTTGAACTTTTTTATAATTAATAAAAAGGAAAAGGTGAATATAGTATTTAGTAAATAATTAATGATACAAACAAAAAATTGAAATAGATAAACAAGTACTGATACTGATAGTATAAATTGGTATTTAAACGTTTTCTATTTGTATGCGATTTTACTCAGTGTTGGGAGCATTTAATCATATAGATCCATTAAAAAAACCCAAAAAACTAAAATTACTGAAACTCTTTTTTTATCAAATGTAAAATTTTTTGCCAATGATGAGACCATTACAATTAATTGAAAATTCTTTAGGAAAGATAATTTGTATGTACACAACGATATGACATGTCCATATGTTTATAATCTAAGTGTCACTTGTTGACATTAATATTACTTACAGTTCATATTAGTACCAGGTATATTTGCACAAAGTAAACATCATAATAACATAAGTTGAAATTTTTGTATCAAATATACAACTCCAAGTCCACACAACTGGCTAAATCAAAATCCAAAATGGTGTCCACTAATGCTTACATCCATGATTTAGATCCCTTCTGTTACATTGTAAATGTTACCTGTAGGATAGACCTGTATTTACCTGAGATTTTTTTATCCAACCATTTAGCCTTTATTTATAATTACAGCCCTGACAGACCTATATGACTGGACCAATAATTACTCAACTATTTGTGATATTTTATGTATGTCCTGATGTGCCTTATGGCTGACATGAATACTCAACATAATTATAAATCCTCTGAAGTCAATCAGTAGCATTATCAGCTTAACATCAAAATCCTATCAAATTTGTATCTAGAAAAAAACTGAAACATTGTGAATCTCACAAGTTAAAATTTTATGCACAAAACAGAAATATATTCTAATATTTTTTAGATTTGAAGTATAGATAAAATATAACAAATATTCTGAAAATGTTAGCTAAATATAGATGTAGGTAATATCAAGCTGCTTAGAATTATATAGTGTTTGTGATAAACAATCGCTACCTTTTGTTTACAACCTTACTTCCCGTCTTTGACATAAGTTTTCTACAGTCAGTCAAAAGCCAGAGGCTAATTTACAGAACAAATTGACCAATCATATTTCACAAAGACACACCCATGTGTATCTTCCATTAAACTACCCAATGAAAGCAAAGATGTTTTAAAATTAACATGACACTCAGAAACAATAATATATTGTATGTATAAAGTAAACAGGGGAGGGGAAGCACTAGTATTACAAAATAGTGAAGATCATTTATAGTTTTTATTTCATTTTTGTTGTATGATTAGTTTTCATTCATCCCTAAGTTTTAACTTCTTACTGTAAATGTAACAATCAGTAATGATAATGTTCAATTTTGTACATCATGTTTTTACAGAAATTAAATACCCAAATAACCTGTGTGTTTTTATGCACCTTATCATCCCATGGTCTGTAGGGTTTTGAAATCTTAAAAAAATATTTTGCAACTACAATCTGGCGAGATGGATTAATAAATATTTAGGTATGTAAAGTAATGAATGCAGTTTTATTATCCTCAATAACAATTACTGTGAAATTTTTTTTTTTAACAAAATCAACAACAATGAAAAAAATTACGGTGCCTGGCAGTGGAAGTTCCTTCTATAAGAACAGTACGATCAGTTTACACAGATACACCTGTACATACTAATATACCAATCCTATCTTTACCGATATTATTACTTGCAGGCCTTCTGCCACAGAGAGCTATCTGCTAATATCTTTTTTGCATAATATTAAATTTGAGCTCCGCAACTCATTATAAACAGGATATGTTAAATGCTATATATATGCATGACAGAAAAAAAAATTATGAAAAGCAGTCCAAACTCGAGCTGAGTCACTCCTACTAAACTGAATTTAATTTTTATGGGACCAAAAGACATTTGTGTCACTTATCGTCTTTTTAGATTAATCGGTATATATTCCATGAAATACAATAAAATTTTCTCTGATGTAAACAAGTTCTTAATACTCCGGGAAAGTTGGTGGAGAGTCTAGACATCCTGAGGGAGTTCCCAACCTAGTATATAGGACACTGAAGGCAGTCACCTGAATACTGCCATACCTTATCTATCCTACAATGTACTGGTCGTATTGTATTTCATATGATAACTCAATATGAAAGGTCTGGAGTTCTGGTGAATACCACTTTAAAAACAGATAATTCTCTCCTGTGATCTGTGCAGTTTGTGGCCATTCTTATTAGATAACATCAGCAAACATGCTAAAATATTACAAAAACTGTCTAGACTTCATGTCAATACTTAAGCAATCTTTGTCTAGATATATGAGGCTCCAACTTGGTATCTGCAAAATGTGATATCATAAATATATGACATCAGTAAATGAAATAGGAAATTATATCATTTATACAAGTTAGCGATATCAGAATCTAGTAATACAAATGTATCCTTCAGTAATGTTTGTTTGTTTGCTTGTTTATTGTTACTGTAAGTCTTATCAACTGCCGAGATCATTTAAAACCATGCTAGGCTTGGATGATGGAGGAAAGTCTAAAATCTTGGTAAAATACCACTGACCAGCTGCCAGTAGCTTGTGCCTGCTCCAGGTTGGCCTCACACCAGCAATCCAGACATAGGCATTCACCACTTGACCAATATTAACACTGCATTGACTTATTGATATCATTAACTCATTCTCTTCCACTTCACCTTGTGTAGTGGGCAAGTCAGCAGTTTTATAGAAGTGGACCATTCCCAGGGTCACTCAACCATATAGGTCGGGTATTTTTGATGTCTTAGATGATGAATGTCACATACTGCAACCTTTTCTATATCAGAAAGAATTCCACAAAAACAATCACATATTGTAAATAAACTGATTGTCAAGTGTGTTCTACAATATGTTAAAATAAAAACCCCAATGTTTCATGACTCATCTACCCACACATCCTTCCATCCATCCATACACCCCTTCCCCTACCAAAACACCCCTCCTGCCCCAAACCCCTCCATCCATCCCCACCCTTAAACCTACCCACACACCCCTCTACCTCCCTCACATTAGGTGACTAATTAGTGAAAAATGTCAGCAATCCATTTGGTAATCCTGTGTGTTTAGATATTTATATTAGTATACCTACCATTTTCAGGTACTGTGATATTGTACACATGCATTGTAAATGTTACTGGAAAGCAATCTCTGCAAGTATTCACTTTTTTTGTCTCTGAATTTCACAATCTGCAATAATCCAATAGTGTCAGTTCTCTTCCTGACGTCTTCTTCTGTACAGCATCAGTATCTTTACATATCAATACATACGCACAAGACAGTTGAAAAGCTAATACCTAAGTCTGTAGAATCCATTATTGAAATATCAAGACATCCGACCAACTAAGTGTGGTGTTTTATATAAAAAAAAAAAAAAATAGAAAAAAACTGAAGTGAATGAACAAAAGCTGTTTACATAATAGTTTATCCGGGATGTCTGCTTGTATATAGCATTATAAAACACACTCACACACACACACACACACATGTAGCCATTCCTGGCCCACTGTACATGTGTCACATGTTACTGAATACATCAATCTCAATATTATACATAATTAGTATATTCATACAAACATTTCCAGGACTATTATCTCCTTGAACCTAGTATTAGTTTACTGAAGTGATAGGGACTTCCCTACAAAAATTATCATTAGTTAATGATTAACCAATCATAGTTCGAAGCTGATCTAAAGACCAATGAAAAAAGGCCCTTCCTGGTGTGAAACATGAGATCGGATATACATGTCCCAGTGTCGGTAGGAGTGGAACCACACAGACATTAGAATTTATTTTGTTACATCCTGTTGGCAGATGATATGCTGAGGTGTTGATAGGTGTGAATGTTGACTGTAGTACATGTATTATTGCACACAGTAAACATCATTATTAAAGTGTATTTTTAAAAAAAATGTTACAGCAACTTCCTCATTAATTAAAAACAAGAGGCACGCAGGGCTTGTATTGCTCAATCTGGATATTTAAGTCAATAATGCAAAACTTTTCAATTCTTTAGATGGAAAATATTTCCCCTGATGAGCCTCATCCCACAGATACAGCTTCTAATTCCGTTGGGGTGGGGACAGAGATCCATTGTTAATCTCTTGATGTCCAGCAATGATATTAAGTTATGGGATGATAATCTCAATAGCTTCAAAGACAACCAGATCAGACCCCAGAACAAATTATCAGTTATGATTGTGTTTATCTCCTGATGCTCAGCATTACTATAGTTATTCAGTGGTGCCAGGTGAGCTAAAAATGCATTTTCAAAGAAATGTTTTTATTTACAACATCATTAATATACAGTAAAACCTGGTCTTCATTGACATTGTTTCTGTAAAGTTAATATCTCCTTTGGAGGTCATCTCTATCAGCAAATACCTAACTTTAATTATAAGTGATATTTACTACTGCATGCAACAGATGAACACGACTATTCTACTAAAACACAATTAAATGTTGATATTCCATCAAATTCTTCCTTGAAAATATCATTTCAATGGAATGATTTGATATGGTATTGAAATCTTGTTAAATAATTTTTAATACAAATTAAAATATAGTTAAAAAAACATGGAATCAGATAAGATACTTTTGAGGGGTTTGACCAATGTATACACCATTTTTTGTTACCCTAGTTTAAATGTAAGAAAACTTATGCTATAAGACACAAAATTGAAACAAAGGGCGATATCTCTGTAATTGAAGGGTTACAGGCCTAAATTTGGTACACTACACATCATCTTCATATGACCAGTGTATACACCAAAATTCATGATCCTTGCTTAACTATGGGCAGAGTTATGTTCTGAACATGA